GTCGAAAGGCCAAGAAGCTGAAGAAGCGTTAGCTGCTGCTTGTATTTATTTTTGTGAAATTCTGGAGACTCTCTGTTGCAAGGAGGTCCTGCCTTCAGAATGAAGAATCCCCTTTATGATTTTAGATTTATACTTGGGTACTCAAGGAGAAGGAATGCATACTGTCATTTGCAGGCTGTCATTGGAGCATAAAGTATTTTCAAATACTTTCCAGGGTTAGATCTGTAATGCAGATGATAGAATGCCCAGTTGAGTGCTCTTAGGAAGTTAACTGTTCACAGGTGCCAGCCTTGATCCTGATGAGCTATGCACTCTAAGGTGGGGCCACTCACCAGCCAGCCAATCTTAACATTGTTCCTTTGCTACTTCGAAAAGGAAACAAAAAGGATTGCCTCGTTACTTCATAATTCTGCTGATGTGTGAGTAGGGCAATGCCTGGCTCCCAGTTAACTTTGTCTTTCAATGAGAAACCTGGCCCCTTCCATGAATGTTGCCAGCAATAAAGTGACCTGTCCTAATCTATATGTTTGGATTGAGAACTTGAAAATGTAGAGTAGGCTTTATAATGATCATATGGATATCATCTCTGTGACTTTGAAGTAAAAAATAGAATAAATTATATTGTATTCTGCATTATTTGTGGATTGGATGCTGAGCATTCTTATTCACTAATTTAGGTGATAAGGCAATTAAAAATTTTTTTTCAAGTTAAAATACAAGTTATGCCATTTAGTTTAAAAATATATGTTTCCAAGTTTTCATTTCAGATTTACTCTTATGTTGGCTTTAGTATAAAATAGACAAGGTCACTGTGTTGATTGATTTTTATCTACAAAATTCATTTTTATATTGAAGAAAAATGCTTATTTTATTCAAACATTAGATTTGGAAGAGTAATAGTTTAAAAACTGAGGAAGTGACATGTGAGACTCCCCTTTCCTCTCTTCCTTCATTATAAAAATATTTTGGAAAAAGGTACCCCTGTACCTCTTGATATAATGACTGCATTTTATCTTAAATTCTTCAGCAATTAATGGCAAAAACCAAAAACTAAATTCATGTGTATCAAGAGCACCACCTTCTCTTTGCCCATATTGCACTTTTATTTCAAACTATGCACTGTGAAGAGATGTTTTTCCCAGGTTGGAAAGGATGTTCCGTTACTAGTGTTTCACTGGTCTGTGGAACTTTCTTCATTGTCACTTTTTTCAAGTCATATTTATAGGCTTGATATCTCTTAAGCCTCAAATCCTGGCAATTCCAATCAGGCTGACGTAGATTCTGGCTGGAGAGAAGCCAAGTCTCAAGGAAAGTCAACAACGGAAAATGAGATACGATGCTAGAGAGTATTTGTCCTAGGTTCTAAATGTGGAGGGTTGGGGGCAGTGGGACATAAGCTTGTAAAACAGTTCCAGGTTGCTTTCATGTATTCCTTTTTATCCATAAAGCTTTCTTTATTCTAGTTTGGTAGTAGAGATGACTGTTGTTAGCCTCCCTTAATGGGACAGCCATGTGACCCAGGCCCTTAAGACTCTCATTTTGAATTGAGTTTCAAATTTCAAAAGTTTAAGGATTTAACTTTGAAGCTGAATCCTGTGAAAGATGTATTCATCACTAGGAATAACACCCTTTCTAACATCCACACAGAACTGTTACACTGGCAGAAAATCCTATCCGCTGCCTCTCACCCATTTCAAATACCTTCAGTGAAATTGATTTAAAGGTAGTGTGCTGTTCCATGTAATGAAACAGGTTTGGAACATTTCCTTTGCTGTCACTCTTGTGCTTCCCCCCTGCCCCCCATTCAAAAGTTTTTTTCTTGGATGTATTTTTTCAATATGCAGACTTTGAAAATCTATTACAATCAAGTGCTTATCATAGCCAAAAGATTTCTCGTGGCTTAAAGTTTACTAGCACTTTACTCAATATGCAGTTATTTGTACTTAAAGGCCCCACTGTGCTCCATAATAAAAGTTCCAGACCTTGAAAAGTCAGGTTGTGTCCTTATGTGTGTATCACTTTTGAATGCATTTCTTCTACGGATGTTATTCTTCTTCAGCATCAGCATTATAAAAAAGGGCACTTCTGTAGCTCAGTTAAAAAGAAAGTCCTGAGAAAGTCTTTTAAATTAGTCTTGGCCTTGTTTCCAAATCCTGTCTTCCATTTTGTTCTGCAGTTCCTGACCACTCTTCCGAAAAGCCCACAAATCTTTGAAGAAACTGGAATAAGCTGTTATTTTATCAAGGTTTACAAATTAAGTGCTTGGTTTTTAACGTATCCTCTACCATTTTGGTTTTCAGATTTTTATTAATTCAATATCTGAAGATGTGCCTTTTATTGGGTAATGTTAATTCACGAATGTAGTAATGTTATTTCACGATTGTAATGTTACATGATCATAGGTGTGGCATTCTCTACAGATGATGTGAAAGGAAAGTAGTTTTCATAAAACTCATGGCTCTGATTGCACAGTCCCACTTGCTTTTGATGTTGCTATGTCAAAGCAAGGGGCACTTTCTTTTCAAGCTACTTTCAGAACTTGTCTTTGTATTTTCTCTAAACTGTAAATGCAGTTATGTCCCTTGGAGGCCAGGGTACCACATGTCACAGACAGCCTTACATGTGTGCCAGGAGAGGGTTCAAAGACTGTTAACAAAAAAGAAAGTATATGGGAACTCGAAATTTCATTTTTTTAATGTTACCCCAAGATTCTCTCCAAGAAATTACTGTTTTGTATTTTGTAACTTAAAAGCAGCTATTAGTACATTTCTGAGATATAGCACGAGACCAAAACATGTTTGGAAAGAGAATAAATATATGAAGAGAGACTGGTTGGTTTATTTTCAATGTGCTGAATATATTAGACTACTATTTATTTTGTGAGTGGATGTGATAAAATAAATATTCAGGTGTTCAGTGTATGCTTAAGAGTGAGATATAGATTTCTTTGGAGTTATTAAATCCATCATGTCTTTTACATAATGGACAAATCAAGTTTTAAAAAAGAAAACATTTACCTAGCTTAGCTTGTTTTCTGGTGCTGTTGACCTGCAAGAGAATCTACTTTTGCATATACAGGTGAAAGTTTTGCAATTTATGTATAAAAGAAATTGTAGGCATTAAAAATATTTTATTGATATTTTCACTGGTTTGCCTTTATTTACCAAAACTCAGATATTCCTTCTCCCATCGCCCTGAACATTTTCCCAGCTAGAACCCCCAGTAGGCTCATCAGACTTAAGATGGGATTTGCCTCCTTATACACACACAACTGTTCATTATCCCTGACACATTCATGTCCGCTCACAACTGACACCATTCCCCACCCCCACCAGCTTAAGAACTGGTCTGCTACCAGATACCCAGGTTAGGAGAATTGTTTGGAGGTATACTCAGAAAACTGGAGGGAAGAACTAGGTATATAGTTCTTATCAAGAAAATGAGCAGGTTCTGATCCCTTATAATAGAAAGAGCCTGAAATAACTTGAGATGAGTCCTTTGGGATATGTAGGAGGCAAATGGGCACAGCTGTGCAGCCAGAGAATGCAGGCACTTAACTGGATGAGATGCAGAGTCTTGGCCACATAAGAGGTATAAGAGATGGTACTATCCTAGAGTCAGGATTACACAGTGTTGCTTATGGCTTTTGAGTTCTATTTTCTTAACATAAAACATAAGGGCAATCCATTCAGTGCCCAGGGCCACTTAAAGAGAGTTTAGCAAACATGAACTAAATAGTCATCGACAAAATGTTACCTGCATAACCAAAAGATCTACTTTGGTGGTAACATTGCCCTTTTGAACAATGAAACGATCAGTCACCCCACGTAGCCACAGGATGGGAAAAGTTCCATACAGTTTGCTTCAAAAGTACTTGTGGGGCGCCTGGGTGGCTCAGTGAGTTAGCCTCTGCCTTCAGCTCAGGTCATGATCTCAGGGTCCTGGGATCGAGCCCCCCGCATTGGGCTCTCTGCTCAGCAGGAAGCCTGCTTCCTCCTCTCTCTCTCTCTGCCTACTTGTGATCACTCTCTCTCTGTCAAATAAATAAAATCTTAAAAAAAAAAAAAAAAAGTGCTTGCTCTCAGGTTCTTCCCCCGCCCCACCCCCCAACTCCCCTCAAGGTCAGAAAATCCCAAACCACCTCTAGAGGGCTTACAAAGAATTAGGGCTCAAGCGCCCAGAATAATAGCATGGGTCTTATACTTAGGTTTCCATCCTTGGTCTCAAACTCAAACTGCATCCTACCGAGGACTGAGCAGTTAGTTGGCTTTTGTTCTATGTGTTTCTGTTTTGTTCCTATGTGTTTCTATTAGCGGCAATCACTGCTCAAAGAATCATCAGGCACCTTCTTGGCTATTCAGGTGAGGGAGGCATTTGAGCCAAGAGACAGCCAAGATCTTGGATATTCCGGGCTCTTGTTTGGGTCTTTTCCTTGGCACATAAAAACCAAGGAGAGGGTCTGGATCTTAATCTTGACTCTGCAATCCAGAGCTGTGGGGCTGGTAAGATCCTTGAACCTCTCAACTTCATTTTTGCCATTTTGTTAAATGAGGCCAGGGGCCAACCCAGGTTATTGTGAGGGTAAAAATGTATAATTTAGCACCCGATATTAAAATGCAGTCCTTTCCCCATACAGTGTAAGCCTTAAGTTCTTAATAGCTGTGAAAAGGCCACAGAGACGTATCCCCAAAGGACAGGCTTGACATTAGCCCAACAGCCTTTTCTGTAACGTTTTTTTCAATCCTGAACCTGGACACAGGAGAAAGCCTATACTTGGGAACTGGGTCTAAGGAGCTTTGGAGAATTTCTATCCTTAAGGATACAGAAGAGGGGGCAAATTGAACGAGGTATTAGTCTTACTGCTAGTCTTAAAACACAAGGGACCCAATCAGATTTCATCTAACTACCTCCCCAGCCTGCATCCCCCTGTTTCGAGCTAACAGAATACCAAGTCTTCATCTTAAAAAGTACAGTAACTTTTTACATAAAATGTGACAAAATAATGTGCAATTACTTTATGCAAAACCAACAACAGGAGCTGTATAGCCGGCCAGGTGAGCTTCAGAGCTGCATTACTTCGCCAGGATCATCTTTGCTTATTTCCACCGGGGTCTGGGGGGAGAAAAGTATGTCAGGTGGGCCTTACCTAGTGTCTGCTGGAGTGTGGGCATGAGGCAGTTGCCCTCCTTGCCGAGGACAGGCACAAGTAGTTTTGACCAGTTGTGTCTTAATGCCTTTGATCCCAGTTGACAGAGGGACATAGTCACAGAGGAGGAGGCCAAAAAGGGACAAATATCCAAGGTCTACCAGGAAGAGAGAAGATCTCTAGCACCAGAACCACTTTATCGACCACCGTTTACTCGAGGAGAAAGAGGGAGGTCTGGGTTGCTGGTGGGAGCTGATTTAAGAAATGCTACTGAAGCCAGAGCGCACAAAATGGCCCCCTGAGCACAAGACGAGGTGACTTACGTTGGACAGCTGTGACTCTGGGCCTGAGATGTCTTTACCTCTATACCTCCAGGTTCTTTGAAACTGACGAATCTAAGACTAAAGATCCTTAAGAAAATATGTATAAAAGACATGAAAGAGAGGGAACTTTCAGTGAACGATAATAGAAGTACATAAGCTACAAGGACTTTCTTAATAAAGAAAAGACTTAAAAAAAAAAAAAGAAGAAGACTCTTTGTTTCTAAAGTTAATAGAGTTGGATCTTGATGCTTAGCTCCTTGATCTGGGGGAATACATTTCAAAGTAAGAATAGAGAACAAAGTTGAAAGCACACTTACCCCTCCTGGGGGATACTTATATCCCTTCCACATGGTTCCTGCAATGAGAACCAACCATAAGACAACAATCATCGTGGAGTTTCTTGCTCAGCTTGCGGTGTGTGCTGGGGAAAATGAGTGGTTCTGAAAGGTGTTCAGTTCCTTGAGTCCTGGGAACTGGGCTGTCTTCATTCAAGACCAGATGGTGGATAGCCCAGCATGATAGCTCCTGGCTGGAGAGTTTTGTGGTCTAGTCTGAACTGCAGTGGCTTGCCATACCCATTTTGGGGGCCAGAGCTCAGACACCAATTGTGACATCAGCTCCTGTGACCTTGAGGGGGGACCAGTCAGAGTAAGCAGCTATGGGACAGTTGGCCAGGGTGCCTGGTATGTTGGGGCCAAAGAACCCTTAATAAAGGGCGTTGTTCACTGGTGACCCTACGTGGTTAGGATCTAACTGGCATCACATCTTTATTAACTCCTCTCCCATCAAAATATTAACTACCGGTTTTATGCAATCAGATGCAAAAAAGCATTGCTATGCAAACAAAACAAAACAAAACAAGACAAAATGCCCTGGATTAATTGGGAGGATTGTCTAGGCATGCTGTGAGCAATTTACTTTATATACTATTGCTAGGCTACTTGAAAGAGAAAAATCTTGCATTTTGTGAAACACCACAGGTAAACCCTCATTATGCAGGGTATGCCCCCTCTCAGTCTCGCTGGAAAGGGAAGGGAAGGAAAATGGGCTGTTATGCTCAATTCACAGCAGGAGAAAGCTGAGGAGCAGAACAGTTTCGGGGGTTTGGTCAGGATCAGCCGGCTCAGCTAAGCTGGTGCCCAGTGCCCCCATCCACATCCCCATCCCCTGAGGTCTGAGGTCTGAGGTCTGAACTGAGTTGGGTCAATATTCACATAGACATTCTGAGGCAGGTGGAGGAAGAAAATAAGAACCCTCATGCCCTGTTCCTAGTACCCCTGGGGTTGGGACTTGATGCCCTGTCGTCTAGAGTAGCTTCCCAGAAAACCTGCTCCTGTAACGGTTTATTACTAAGACTTTAAGTTTCTCTAACAGTGGGAACATCTTTGAAAGAACAGGTCTGAATGAAAGGAAGTGGGATGTGAGAACCCCAAGAGCTGCTTGCTAAAAGAATACTGTATTCACGTTTCCTAGAGGCGGGCTGGTCCAGTGGAATGAGTCCAAGAGGATATTAAGTCCTATGCTTGCATCCCAGCTTCACAAGCGAGTTGGTCTGTGGCCTTGGGTAAATAGCTTGAGGATGTTGTCTCAAGTCAATCTTTGCTGACCAGTTCATTATTTTGTTCATCTGTTAAGTTAGCACTTAGTAAATACTTTGCATCAAATGCTTGACATGAATTCCCAAATGCAATCCTCACAAAAGTAGTAAGATACTGAGCTATCGCCATTGGGCAGGTGAAGAAAGTGAGGTTTAGAGAGAATTCAACCTTCCCAAGGTCATACAGCTAGTGAGGAGCAACGTTAGGGGTTTAACTCATTCACCATAACTCAAGTCTTGGGAGCTGCCAAAAAGGGGCACTGAAAATACTCATCCAACTTCTTACAGTTTGTGAGAAAAGATATTAATAGACAGGAAGAGTCTTTGAAAAGAATACTTAGGAGATGCGCTGAACCAATCTTGGAACCTTGGCCTGCTGCCCAAAGCAGGGCTTGCTGTCTTCTTTCCCCACCGCATACCTCAAACCACCTCCCCTTTGCCAGCTGATATGTTTCCCAGGGGGGACATAAACTCTCCACTGAGATTTCAGAGCGTTGCGGCATTCTCTGGAAAGGGAGAAGTTGAGTCCAGCAGACCTGACCACTCACTCAGAGCTGCGGGTCTTCATCCAAGGTCTGGCTCCTCAGTCGTGTCTTGTCCTCCTGAATAGACCACTTCTCTTTCCACTTCAGAGTTGGAGGCTGAATCAGAAAGAAATGTAAAGGCAGAAGTGGTTCTACTTGTTGGCCTAGTAGGAACTGCCTCTGTATGCCGCAAGGGCCGTTGGGAGGTTCCCCCAGTGCTCACATTCCCTTTCCTACCAGTGACCGCTGATCTGCTTGGCCTCAAACCCTGTCTCCAGCAGACCCCTTATAAATTCCACAATGCTTTGAGATAAGTGCTATTATGTACCCAAGAGGCAGGTGGAACTTAAAGATATCCCAAGGGGATGAAAAGTTGCCTGGGAAACGAACTCTGTTCCATTGCATCCTGACTTCTAATTAGTGGTGAGACCTCAACTAACCTTCCCCTTTGGTCAGAAATCCCAGCTGGGAGGGGGAGCCAGAGCCAGGACTGCCCATTACCAGGGGTTCACAGGCAGGGTCATTACTTACCATGAACTCCGGAAATGTGCCCATGTAACATGCAAGTCCAACAAAAAGCATCCAGCCAAGTACAATCATGATAACAAGTAAAACAATGTCTAAGACACAACTGCGCAGTTAAAGACTATTCACCAAGGTCTTGGCAAAGGAGTGTGCTCATGAAACCCTCAGTTGGTAGAGGTCTTGCATGTCAGCTCCAGTCCTTGGCTCCAAAGGATCCACACGGCCCTACTGGAGAAGTCAGGAGTCTAGTAGTGCTTTGTGACATCATTGGTCACATGGCCCAGGCTCACAACAGGTCAGAGAGACTGCCCCCAGACCAGTAGGTGCGTGGCAAACTAAGCTTTTTATATGCATTCTCTCATAGCAACAATATGAAGTAGGTACTATTATCAAGCCCATTTACTAAGAAGACTGAAGCGTAGAGCCTAAGTGACCTGCACCAGGTCACAAGGCTGGTGCTCCAGACCAGGGCCAGGACTCAGGGCCCAGCTACCCGTTAGGAAGCTGGGCTCCCTAGACTAAGACAGGGCAGACAGCGATTGGGAAGGGTGTGAATGGAATAAACTGAATTCTAGGGAAAGTGAGACATCTCTTATTTCTGTCCCTGCAACTCTCTCATCATCCCAAGGGCTCTGTCACCACCATTTTATACCATTCTTCAATATCTTTGGTCAGTAACTCTCTGCTGGTTCTCCTCACTTGGCCTTCAAGAAGCCACAAGGAAGTCCTTTCCTCGCAGAAACCTCCAACTCATGCTGTGGCTCCCTTCCTAACCTGTTTCCTAATTTCCTTTTAACCACAAACTTCTTAAACAAGTGGTCCACACTCAAAGCTTTTCTTCCCAATCTCTACCTTTTTTCCATATATCACATTCCAACTTCTGGTCCCAAACCACTACTTAGATGCTCTCAGAGGTTACCAAAGACCTCCTTTTTGTCAAGTCTAATGACCTCATCTTCATCCCTTTGACCTCCGTGCACTGTCATAATGGACCCTTCTCTCCATCAGAATTCTTTGTACAGACACATATCCTGTCTTATTTTGATATGCCCTTTATTTGCTTTACATTTTTGAATGATGAAAATAATAGGTGCTCATGGTAAAACATGAAACCACCTGCAGACATATAAGAAAAATCTAACAATCTCCCCCTTTTTCCCTCTCAATTCCCACCCTCATGATGTACCCAAGCCTGGTTTGTACCCTTCTGCCAAAGGATCCTCCATGAACTTGCAAACATCAGTACACATATGGAGGGATATACAGGATTTCTTTCCAGCGTTGCTTTATCAAAGGTGATCAGATTACTTACGCTACTAAGAACCTTGCTTTTCTTCTGTTAACAATACATCACGGACATCCTCCTGGGTCAATGGTTAAAAAAATTTAAACACATTCCTTTTTTTAATAAGAAGTTTTATTGAGGTATAAATCACATATGATAAAATCCACTCCTTTTAGCGTGCAGTTGATGAGTTTTGAAAAATGTGTCAATCTTGTAACTACCACCACCATCAGGAGAGAAGAAATCTCAATTATCTCAACAAGTTCCCTGTGCCCCGTTGCAGTAAGTCTCCTCCCTTGGACTCCTTGCCCCCTGGAAGCCATTTATCTGCTTTTGCATTTTCCAGAACTTCACATAAAGAGAGTGACAGGCTCATTCACAGGCTTCTTTCGCTTAACACAAAGCTTTCAAGATTCATCCACGTTGTCCGATAGCTTGTCCTGTTTTATTGGATGAACACATGGTCTACTGCACGGACAGCACAGTTTATCAATTTACCTTTCAGAGAACATTTGGGTTGTTTCCAGTTTGGGTTATTATGAGCAGAGTTTGGATTATTATAAATCTGTGGGTACAGTTTCTTGTGTGAACATAAGTTTTAGTTTCTCTAGGGTAAATCCCAGCAGGGGTATTTGAATCATATGGTAAGTGCCTGTTAAAAAAACCTTTTATCACTATTCTCAGCAATTTTACTTTGCTGTGACTATGTAATTTTCTGCATGTTTCTTCTATTTGGGGTTCAGTGAGCATCTTCGAACTGGGGTTTATGGTCTTCCTCAAATTGGGAAAATACTTGGCTAATATTTCTTCAAATATTTTTCTGCCTCCCAGTTCCCCTCTGTGACCTCTGTTGCGTGCGAGGCCAGTAACCAATGTGAAGGTGTCCCAAAGCTTGCTGGTGGTTCTGTTCATTCCTGAGTCTTTTGATTCTCTTTGTTTCATTTTGGATAGTATCCATTGTTTTCTTTTTCAAGTTCACTCGTCTTTCCCCTACAGTGTCTAATCTTCTGCGAATCCCATACAGTGCATTTTTCATTTGATGTTTTATTTCTCATCTCTTCAAGCTCAATTTGTCTTTTAAAAAATTCTTTCATTTTTTTTTTTCCACGTCAGGTTCATGCTTCCCTTTGTATCCTTGAGCATTTTTGTAAGATTGATGGTAAACATTTTAAGGACTCCATCTGCAAATCTACCATCTCTGTCATTTCTGGAGATGTTTGATGGTTGATTTTTTTCTTTTTGTTATGGGTGATATTTCCCTACTTCTTTGAATGCCTGGTAAGTTTTGGTTCGATGTTCACATGGTGAATTTTACAAGGCTGTCTACTGGACTTGGTTATATTCCTTTCAGTAGTGTGGGTTTGGTTTTTTTTGTTTGTTTGTTTCGTTTTTTTTCAAGGATGTTTGGATCAGTTTGATTCTTTCGAGGCTTATTTTAATATTTGTTAAGTGAGCAAAGAGCAGCTTTTACTCTGAGGATAATTATCCCCATTACTGAGCTATGACCCTTCTCATGCCCACTGGGCACTCTCTCTGATGCCTATTGTGTTCAGCCTTTCAAATCTGTGGAATTTTCCACAACTCTTAGCCCTTTTGGGAGCTCCAGGAAGTGTATGGCCTGCTGTTTGTGGGTGACTCTTATCCTGGCCTAACTCAGCCAAACACTCACAAGGACCCCTACTGAGATCTCCAGAGTTCTCTCTCTGTAGAATCTTCTTTGCCAGGACCCCAACCTGCAGTTCCCTGCCACTCTGGCCTCCTTTGTACTCTGCTCTTTCTTTACAACCTAGCAAGAGTAATCTTGGTTTGGGGAACCCCACTGTGCGGCAGTCTGAAAATCACTTCCACGCACCAGGCTGGGGCAATTGCAAGGCTCATCTCCTTTATTTACTGTCTCTCAAAGTTCACAGGCCTGTGCTTGCTGCTTCTTGCGCAAGATCTGTAAACAATTATTTCATATATTCCGTGTAATCTTCTCTTTGTTTATGGAGAGAAGGCAACTCTGTAGCAGTTGATCCTTCTAGGTAGATGCAGGAATCCAATTTATTCTTTTTTAAATTTCTGAATAATTGTCCACATTTATTTCCTCTTTCTCCTAACGATGAATCTATCAGTCAAGAGATGGAAACCACACAGTAATTTCAACAGAGAAAGTTTAATAAAGAGAATTATTAACTAGGAACAAGAGATTAACTAAGGAAAAGGTAGAAAGCTCTACCTATACAGACATAGCATATATAGGGAGCAGCCACCACCCCTAAGGCTGAGGCAATGCACCCAAGGGAGAAACATACTTGTAAGAGCGCACCCCCGCCGGGGCACCTGGGTGGCTCAGTGGGTTAAATCCTCTGCCTTCGGCTCAGGTCATGATCTCAGGGTCCTGGGATCAAGCCCTGCATCAGGCTCTCTGCTTAGCAGGGAGGCTGCTTCCTCCTCTCTCTCTCTGCCTGCCTCTCTACTTGTGATCTCTGTATGTCAAATAAATTAAAAAAAAAAAAGAGTGGCCCCTGCCCCTCAGAGCTGAGATCCAAAACTTGGTGAAAAAGTGGTAGCCATCCCCGACTGGATGGTAGAGAAATTCAATCAGCTGCAGGCCAGACCTCACAATGAGAGAATGACTAGATGCTGGTGAAATTTGACAGGAAGTCTCTTCTGGGAGGCTCACTGATCATTGCTGAGAATCTGCCAACAGAATATACCAGGATGCTGGTGGTAGAACTCAAGGGGTTCTCTACGGGGTGTTGGTGGTAGAACTCAAGACAAGCTGTTCAGTGGCAGGGACGCCATTGAAACTCAATGGAAAACAGTCCATAGAGAGGCCACGGGAAGTCAACATGGGTAAGGACCACTGGATAGCCTCCACATGCCAGTCACACAGCAGAACAAAGAGAAACAAAGGCATCCTGGAACCAGGAAGAAAAGTTTCTTCCTCTTCTAGTAGCTCCCCAAGGTACTCCATTGATAAAACTTATCATCCCCACGAGCAAGGAAAAAGGGTTTTACAAGGTTCAGGTTCATTACAGCAGAGCAAGCAGTGAATGGTGGATTCGGAGCTGAAGGACAGTGAGTTCATAAACAGCACAATGTGCATTTAGGTTTTCTCCCACTTTTTACCACCATACATAATGTTGCAATTGTTACACAACATTTCTTAGACAATTTCTTCCGAGTAGTGCCAAGTTTTTACTTGTTAACCAGGAAAGCAGCAAGATGACAGAGTATGCCAGTTCCGATACAGCATTACAATGGAGAGGCTATATAAAATCCTTCCAAAAAAAGAACTTAAAAGAAAAGAAAGATTGTAATTTTATTTCGTAAGGACAAAGGATATCTTTCCAAGGACAAAGGATGCCTGTGGTAGGACTGCCTGGGATGCAGCATACACTGTTGGTCAATGAACAGCAACACAGTCTCCATACATCTAAGTGAAGAATACTGGGTTCTGATGCACACGTTTTTAAAATTTTCATGCAGTCTCATTTACTTTTTTTTTTCGTTGCCTATGCCTTGGTGTCATATCCAAGAAATCACTGCCAAGTCCGATTTCATGACGTTTTTTCCTACGTTTCCTTCTAAAAGTTATATTGTTTTAGTTCTTACATTTAGGTCTCTGATCTATTTTAATTTTTATATATGGTGTTAGGTAAGAGTCTAATTCATCCTTGCATATGGATATCCAGTCTTCCCAGCACCATCTGTTGAAAAGACTGGCTTTCCCCATTGAATAGTCTTGGCACTCTTGTCAAAAACCATTTGACCATGTATGCAAGGATTTATTTCTGGGCTATCTATTCTATTCCATTGGTGAGGTACTTAAAGATGTCAAAATCATAGAGACAGAAAATAGAATTCTGAGTTGCCAGGGGCTGGGAAGAGGGAAGAGTAGGAAAATATTATTTAATAGATATAGGGTTTCAGTTTTAGAAGAGGAAAATCATTATTGAGATGGGTGGTAGAGATGGCTGGGCAACATTACGAATATATTTAATACCAGTGAACTGTATACTTAAAAATGGTTAAGATGGTAAATTGTACGTTATGTGTGTTTTACCACAATGAAAAAAATGAGGGGAAAGAGAAGTAAATGATAAGGATACATGTGTCTGATATTTGGAATACCAGGATTTCATCCCTGAACAATGTCTGATCGGACCAGTAACTATGAAAGCAAAGAGTGTAAACAGAGATCAGAAGCAGAACACAAGGAAAAAAATTCTAATTTTAAACAAGCCATTCTTGTGACTTTTCTCAAGCTACAAACAAAGATGCAAAATATACACGGTTCCCATTTCTTAGTTTGGGGATTTTTTTTTTTCCTTTTACTATAATTAACAACTTTGTTCCTGTGTCTTGGGTACCTTAATTCCAGTAAGACAAATTTCCAAAATTTTTCTTATAGTGTCAAAGGTATGTCAGATTACTTTGCCCAAAGACTGTAGCAAATTATGCTCCCACTGACTACGTTTGAGTTTTTTAAACTAGGGTGAAAGGATGGGCTTCAGTGGATCTCTGAACATTCCCAGAACTGGAGACAAAATGGGACTGCATACATTGGCATGTACATTTTTCTGGGACAGGTCTGTATCTTCCAACAGATTTTTTTTTTTTTTGAAGTCTGAAACGCTAATAAGGCTGAGAACTAGTACACTATACCATCTTCTCCTTATGGCTTTGGTCACCCTACACTTACATTCATTCAGCAAACTTAGCAACTATCAGAAGAATGAAGACATGCATTAACTCAAGTATGTGAGGCACTGGGAATACAGAGACAAATGAGATCTGACACGTGTCAGGACCTTACAGTCCTTGGGGACAGAAAGAGAGGAAGAGATGAAGTAGTCCAGTACAATTAAGAAAAAAAAAAAACAAAACCCAGGCAGGGCATTAAAGGTTAAAGCATAGAAGACACAACATGTTTGGGGGAAAAGTGAATATTTCAGCCTGGCTACATTACAGGCTGTAATAGTGCCAATTTCTGGACGTGGGGGGCCAGGGTCATACCAAAGTCAGCCAGTGTTTGTACTCCACAATCTTCCTCTTATGAATAAATACCAATAGGCACAGAACTCTAGCTTCCTGGAGATTATTAATCACAAATTTTCATCACAATTCACACACAGAAAGGCAGCAAAATGCACAGAGAAGGAACATGGTCTCTGACATCACTTTCTGCAATAATTTAACCTTCCTGAGTCTTGGTTTCCCTAACCATAAAATGGAGCCAATTATATCATAAATCCTCTATTTTAAGGTGCATACTTTTTCACATTTTAGTTCTTTTCAAATAGGTGTAAGTGGTAAAATTAGTATTTATATTTAATTTTGTACCCTTTTCTCTCCTAAAACCTTGTCAGTAATATAGCTCTTACTCAACAGGATCTCAGAAATGAGAAAATAGGTAATACAATCCTAAACCTCAGTTTCCTCACCAGCAAAATTGAGATAATTTTATGTAGGTCATTGGTTCTGAGAAGATTAACTGTGGTAAGCACGTAAAATTCTTAGCAAAGAAACTTCCACACAGGAAATGATGGCTACACATACACAGAGAGGCATAAAGTGTCACAGGGCCTGTAAGTCATTCATGACTAAACCAGAAGAGAATGAGCTGTTTGGATGAAAGGCGTCTTCCATAAACAGTTCTTTCATCAAAGATTGAAGACCCTTGCTCAGGCCTCACTTCTAACATGGTATAATTTCCTTGATTAAAGGATTTCTGACAGGGTCTGTTAGATATTAGAGGCCCTGGAAGTCCCATTGTTTCCTAGGTTTGGTAGATCTGCCTGAGGTGCTCTCAGAGGCCTCTTATCTTTCAATCTTCTCCCCTCCTACCTTCTCTCCTGTCTTCCTCTCTCGCCCCACAGGCAGTCTCTTCACAAGGCAGTAGTCAGACCTATTCCTTTAAGACTCAGTCACATCACTTCTCAGTTCAAAACCCTCCAGCGGCTTCCTCTTTCTCTCAGAGTAAAAGCCTAAAAGAGAAAAATGCAGCACCTGACATCTGGGAACTGGTCTGACCCAGCCAGGAAGGTCTCCCTGTTGTTAGAAGTTGACGCGGCACTCACGGCTAGGCTATGTTATGCTCCTGTTGGATAAAACAACCTCACAGATGCAAACATCAGACAGGGTCACTCAGACCATGATAAAATGAGACCAAATAAGGCCAATTCATAATTTTGTCTAAGCAGAGACAAACTCAGGTCACTGTGTAGCCCATGAAATACCAAACATCCTCTTCTCACTGCTAATGCATATGAGTGACTGCTTCTTCTTTACCAATTACTGCTTTCTCCTTGCTCCAGTTTGCCTATTGTATGGATATTTACTGAGATATCCAATCACAGAACTGTCTCTGCTTTCTCAAAGCTCCCAATCCAGAGTGAAGGTTCACTTCATTAAACCCTCCCCCAAGTCACCCAAAGCCCCAGTCCTATACTAGGTCTTTCTCACACTCCCGCAGTGAGCAGTCCCAATGGAACTCCACAGTATCTGCTCCCTCGATGCAAAGAATAATCAACCCCAGGTGCTTAAGTGTGAGTGTGCTCCTGATGCTCTTCTGGCTATAGGGTATTGACAAGCCAGAATCACAAATGTCTACAAAGGCCCCACAGGCATTAGAATCACCACGTTTGTCAAAAATGATGACTTGAACCACCCCTCCCCCAGAGTTTCTTTTTTTTTTTAATTTATTTTTTTTATTTATTTGACAGAGATCACAAGTAGGCAGAGAGGCAGACAGAGAGAGAGGGGGAAGCAGGCTCCCCGCTGAGCAGAGAGCCTGATGCAGGGGCTCAATCCCAGGGCCCTGGGATCATGACCTGAGCCAAAGGCAGAGGCTTTAACCCACTGAGCCACCCAGATGCCCCCCTCCCCCACCCAGTTTCTGATTCTGTAAGTCTGGGGATGGGATCTTAGAATCTGTATTTGTCACAAGTTCCAGGTGATGCTAAGGCTGTTGAGTCTGGGGCCACATAGGAAGAATCACTGCCCTAAGCCATTTGTGGCTTCCCCTTTATTTCCCTGATTTAGCCTACATCTGTCTCCTCCCCTCTTACTTCATTCTACTCCAACCACACCCCCCATCTTGCTGTTTTGAGCTCACACCTGTTGTAGGATTTTGCTTTGAATGCCCTCTAATAGAGAACACTTACCCGATCACCTTCAAGGAGACCTACCCTGATCTCCTTACCCTGTCTTTTTAAAACTTTTTTCCTCACAACACTTAATTACCTTCCAGCATATGGTCTCATTTACTTATTATATGCATTGTTTTGCTCTCCTCCTAATAAAAGAATGACAGCCTTAGGACAACCGATATTTTTTGCCCATTTTGTTCACTGCTGTATCCTCAGGCCTAGAAAAAGATCTAGCAAATAGTCAATGTTCAACAAAAGTTTGTTGAATGAATAATACCCTTTCCAGCCTTTTCTTCTAAGAGTTACAGCATTCCTGCCTCTGGCTCACGGTGTAAGTACAACCTCGGTCCTGCTTACCCATCCTCCTGACAGTTACAATATCCATCTTCTGCACTTTTTAAGCCCAGCGGCTCAAATCAGGGATAAAGCAGGTAAGTAAATCACAAGTCAAGGAGACCAGACAAGGCCAGCAAACTCCATCCCTCATCCTCTCTATGGGGATGACCTTATCCACCAATCTACCTTCTTTCTTGTTCTCAAACTCTTTTTCTGACCTAGCTTTTTCCTCCCTCTGCCACCAACAGTTATGGCGCCCCTCTTTAAAAAAAAAAAAAAAAAAAAAGACAACTCCTCCCCGCAAGCTGCACCAACCCTCACCATCGCCCAGTTTTTCGATAATGCTCCTTCTGACTCCATTTTCCCTTTCTAGCTTCTTGAAAATTTGCTTTTAAAGTTCCGTTACCTCTTCGTTCCTAAATCTAACTATAATTTTTTTATCTGGATCTTTCTCGATACTCTGCTGAATTTAACACACCCTTCTAGAAACTCTTCCAAAACAGCGCGAGTTGCTTCTACCTCCTTTACTGCATCTCCTCGGGTCCTTCCTATTCCTCTCCTTACAGATGTCCCCAAGTTTCCTTCCAGCAAGCCGGGTCGTGACCCTGGGGCGCTAACGTCTTTCCAACCGCGCTCAGGGTCCGCGCTGGGGCGCTGGTCTGACTCCCGGGAGGAGCTGCCGCTTAGCCAGGGCGTTGGACGCGGGCAGACTTTCCAGCCGGCGAAGGGGCGTGGCCTTGGACGGCTCGGGAGACTTGGACCTCGGCGGCCTCCGTCCAAGGGTGGGCACGGAAGGAGTTCCGCGAGCTGGAGTCACGGAACCTGGCTCCGGGAGGTGGATGGAGATGGAGTTCGACTGCGAGGGTCTCAGACGGCTACTGGGCAAGGTGCGAGCAGCCCTCCGGGCCGGGTCAGGGGCCTCGGGGTGTCGGGGCCGGGCTGCCTCGTCGAGACGTTTCCCCGACTCATCTTGGGGTTTGGAGCGGAGGCGGGCTGGCCTGAAGCCGGCTGCTGGGAGTGTCCCCCGGGAGGCTGTGGTCTCTCCCTCCCGAGCCCTCAGTCCCAGGGTGGGGGCTGTGGCTCCGCCCACGATTCCTCCGGGCCCGCATCCTCCACCCGGTGGGAAACTTTCTCACGCCACCAGCGTCTCGGGTTCTCAAACTGCTCCCGGCACTCGCCTGTCCCTTTAACCACGCCTTTCTCTCTGCTGATAGGGCCTGCCCCTTTTTTCTGGACTTGCAGTCTCCTCTTTCTGAGACTCAACTCAGATGTCACTCCCTGCAAGCTTTCGGAATCGCGCCCTTCTCCCTTCTTGCTTTCGGAAGTCTGGATTATCACGTTGTGGAGTAATTACTTACTTACAATTATTTATTTATTCATGCGGTGTACTCACCGCAGAGACGGTGCTGTTGTATTCCCTTCCCTAGCACTGTGCCTGACCACTGCGGAGGTGCTACATAACTGCAGTGAATGAAAGACTTGAGTAGTTACAGGAAGGTTGAGTGAGAGGCCTGACCCAGAAATCTAACCTACATTTCTGGGGCATGACTAGTACCAGTTTCCAGTTTAGTCCAGGCCATTGGTCCAGGCTCTTTGATTTCCCACCAGTGTATACTCTGAGGCAACCCACCTTTCCCCAGCTTTCTAGTTAAGTGATTCTTAATTTTCTTAAGACTTCTCTATGCAGAAATCATACATGCATGCTATTTGGGGAGAAGGGATTTGCCTTAGTTGGGGCAGTTTGCACATCTGTGCGAGGTTGTGAAGCCTCGTGACTGAAAGTGTTTATTTAATTGATTTAAATGATTTTATCTGCTGGTACAGGTGGGTATAGATTTTGTAGGAAGAAAAGTATCATGCTTATGACTACGCCCTTTGTGTCTTCTCTTCACAGAATGTATCAAGTTTTTAAATGAGGGGAGCATGACATATTATTGTTCAGTGGGAAGAAATGTTAAAGTTGAGAGTAGAATAAGAACTTTATAATTTTTCCTTCATTAGATTAGCATGAATTAAGATAATTTGAAATGATTTGGAGGATGCAATATTTATAATTTTTCCTAAATTAGATTAGCATGAATTAAGCTAATTTGAAATGATTTGGAGGATGCTAGTGGTTTAATGACTATTTAACCATTTTGGAGAAACTTTGGCCTTGTTAATTTGATTATGTGTGATTTATATCCCTTCTGCATTTAGGTAGATACCACAGAGAATTCATAGTATATGAAGCAACAGACATTTGCAGAATTATCTATAACTAAAAATTAGAAACAACCCAAATGTGCATTGACAGAAGGAAGAATCATTTGTTGTATATTCACACAATGGAAAACATTACTGTGTGGCAGTGAAAATTAACTGCAATGTGCAACAATACAAATGAATCTTAGAAACATTATATTGAGTGAAAAAAAATTGGAAGTTACATGGAAAGTTATAATTTGGTAAAACCAACAAAATTAAAATTAAACAAAAACTAAACAATCAATAGCGTGTTGTTTAGGGATACACACATATGCATGATAAAAGCAGATGAAGGCAGAGAAATGTAAATCTGAGTTAAAGGGAGGCAGTTGAATGGGTAAGAGGAGCACTCAGACAGATATAATGGTATTGGAGGGGTCTGTGCTGTCTTAATATAGTATCCAGTAGCCACAAGTGGCTATTTGTCAGAATTAGATAAAATTAAAAATTGAGTTTCTGAGTCACACCAGCCGCATTTTAATTGTCAACAACCACATGTGTCCTGTGGCTCCTATATTAGATCCTCACGTATAGATCTTTTCCATCATGGCAGAAAGTTTTGTTGGACATTACTATTCTGGATCTTATGTGAGCATGTTGGTGCATGGGTATTTATTCTTCCAAATTAGTGTGTATGTTTGTGTGTGTGTGTGTGTGTGTGTGTGCGCGTGCACGCACGTGTGTATACATGTATGTATATATTCTTTAGTTTGTATTAAATATTAAGTTTAGGGGTGCCTGGGTGGCTCGGTTAAGCGTCCGACTATTGATTTCAGCTCAGGTCATGATCTCAGGGAGTGGGATATGGGGAGACCCGTATCAGGCTCCACACTCAGCCTTCATGCTCAGTGGGGAGTCTGCTTGGGATTCTCCCTCTCTCCCTCCCTTTCCCTCTGCCCCTACCCGCCCCCCCCCACTTGCATGTGCACATGTGCACTCTCTTTCTCTCTCCATCAAAAAAATAAATATTTTAAGAAACAAATATTAAGTGTAGAAAAATTAATCTGGTTCCCTCATTGGTATTTCAGAATTTTGTGGTTCCCACATCACTAGTTATCTTGGACAAGTAGCTTAACCTACTTTTGTTCACTCATAGAATGTAAGATTGGACTTGATCTGTAAGATGTGTGCCAGTTAACATTTTTTAATAAAATGATGCCACAAAGTATTCCTCATAGTGTGTCCTATATTTGAGGATGTCATAATAAGAGTACTCTTATACATCTTCCTAAATATAAGCCCCCACTAAATAAACATAATATAGCAGATAAAGTTAAAATTTTAGTAACTTCTCAATTTTTCAGTGTTATTGACTTTTTTTAAATTAATTTTTTATTTTTTATTAATATATAATGTATTATTAGCCCCAGGGGTACAGGTCTGTGAATCGCCAGGTTTACACACTTCACAGCACTCACCATAGCACATACCTCCCCAGTTTCCAAAACCCCACCACCCACTCCCTAATCCCCTCCCCCCAGGAACCCTCAGTTTGTTTTGTGAGATTAAGAGTCTCTTATCTCTTACTGTTTGTCTCCCTCCTGATCCCATCTTGTTTACTGACATTTTTTTGTTTTTAAAGTAGGCTCCATGCGGAGCATGGAGCATGGAGCCCGGTGTGGGCCCTCGGTGTGGGGCTTGAATTCACAATCTCAGGTCAAGACCTGAGCTGAGATCAAGAGTTGGAGGCTTAACTGACTGAGCCACCCAGGTGCCCCAAGTGTTACTAACTCTTGTGACACTATAATCGCTTTAGTTTTAGAATCTCCCAGGCCACATGTTTTCTCTTTCGTGACAGGCCTGCTCCCTTTAAGTACATCGTATAGTCTGAGGCACATTTCCTTAGAGAATGTTCCGTACACTTCTCTTAGGTGGTATGGAACAGTAAGGGAATATATGCCTTAATATTGCACTAAGAAGATATTCTATTTCATATATAGTGAAAATGATGTGAACATTTTTTTCAGGAAAAATGAAATAGGTCTTTTTTTAGGTGTCAAAAAGGCAAATCACATATTTGACTAGTAGTGACATTTGGGTATTCAAGCCCTGAAGAAGACTGCTTTTGCCCCCTTTCGACCAACTTTTATAGCAATTTCGCAATTAAATCCATTCTGATGTATATCCCTAGGTGATTAATCACATTCTCACAGGATTAGAAAAAACAGCTTATAATTTTAGGTAGAAAACAAAAGTTTTCATTCATAATAAATATTCCAGGTGACAACAGTGCAAGCTTTTGTACATTTGTGGGATGATTTCATTCACATTATTTACACTGAGTCAGGGACCCTGAATCTGGGCCTCATTTCACTCTGCTGCAGTTAATCTGGTCAGTTCTTAGTTTTGATGCCCAGTCCTGTCGATCATAATTTCTTTCTGTATCCACTCTTCTCATATACATCTGCCTCTTTGCTAATTCCCATCCAATCAGCCTACATTTATCAGAGGCATACCCTGTGCTGAGTGCTGTGGGGAGATACAGAGATGAATAAGACATGATTCCTGCTCTCAAGTGATTAATAATCATAGACTTTTTCTCCTGCCAAATTCTTTCCCATGTTAAAATGATCTTCTCCATTCCCTCTAATTTTCTGTACCATTCTAGACTCTAATGTAGATTGTAGACAGCTCTTCTTCGAGGCCTTTCTCTAACTTAGATATGCTTCATGTGGGTTCTTCATTTCTTGCCTGTACTTACTATTATATATGTTTTTGTTTAATATTCCACTTTTACATGTGTTAATCATGAGGCATACCTGTGAAGTTGCTAGGTAGTAGGGGAGCTGTATTTCCTTTGCAAATGAAAAGCTTAAGGCTCAGAGAGAGGGAACAGAATCTATTAGCAGTTATTCCCCATTTCTTCCCAATCTCCCATAATCGTAGGCACCTACTAGTCTCCTTTCTGCTTCATGGATTTGCCTATTCTGGATATTTCATATACAAATCATATAATTTGTGGCCTTTTGTGTCTGGTTTCTTTCACTTAGCCTAACAGTTTTCAAGGTTCATTCATGTGGTAGTATATATCAGTTCTTTATTCTTTTTATGGCCGAATATTCCATTTTATGGATTTATCACATTTTATTTATCCATTCATCAGTTGATGGACTTTTAGCTTGGTTTGTTGTTGTTGGCTTTTATGAATAATGCTGCTTTGAACAATTCTGCACACTTTTTTTGTATGACATATGTTTCTACTTTTTTTGGTTATATACCTCAGAGTGGAATTCCTGACTGCCAGACTTTTTCGAAGCAGCTGTACCATTTTCTTACCAGCAGTGGTTTATATATCCTGGGGTTCTGATTCTCCACATCCTCTCCCATACTTGTTGTCTTTTTTATTATGGCATGTCCTTTTTTTTTTTTTTTTTTTTTAAGATTTATTTATTTGAGAGAGAAAAAGGGTGAGTTGAGGGAGAGGGAGAGGGAGAGAATCTTCAAGTTGACTCCCCGCTGAGCATGGAGCCTGATGTGGGGCTCGACCCCACTACCCATGAGATCACGAGCTGAGGACCTGAACTGAAACCAAGAGTGGGACGTTCAACCAGATGAGCCACCAGGCGCCCCAGCCTGTCTTTTAGTTATAGTATGAATCCTCCAACTTTTGTGTTCTTTTACAAGATTGTTTTTGGCTATTCTAGGTCTCCTCCATTTCAATATGAATTTTAAGATCAGTTTGTAAATTTTTGCAAATTAAAAAAAAAGCCATTTGGGATTTTGATAAGGATTGTTGTTTATTGAATCTGTTGAGGAATATTGCCATCTTAACAATGGTAAGTTTTCTGATCTATTAACAAGGGATGGCTTTCTTTTACTTAGATATACTTCAATTTCTTTCAACAAGAAAGTGTTATAGTTTTTACACTGAGTTTTACATCTTGTTGTTAAATTTATTCCTGAGTGGTTTTTTTCTTTTTGATACTATTGCAAATGCAATTGTTTTCTCAAATTCGTTTTCAGATTGAGAAAAGATTCTTTTTTTTTTTCCTAAAGATTATTTAGACAGAGAGCATTAGCAGGGGGAGGGGCAGAGGAAGAGGGAGAAGTAGATACCCGGTGAGCAGGGAACCCCATTCGGGGCTCAATCCCCGGACCCTGGGATCATGACCTGAGAGCCAAAGGCAGACGGTTAACCAGCTGAGTCACCTAGGCACCCCGAGAAAAAATTCTGAACATACTTTTTTTTTTTTCCTTCATGTAATCCCCAGCACAAGTCTAGAGGTAAGTATTGTTTCTCTTTGCAAATGAGGAAAAAGATTTAAAGAAGTTAAATGATTTTGCCAAGGTAGTATTTCAGGGAGTATATCTGGATGAGTGAGGAGGCAGTTTGCTCACCTTGACGGCGGACCATTGAATGCTGTCTGTCCTTCCTTCCAAAGCCAGGATGCAGTACCAGGAGGGTTGGGAGGGATCAAGGAGTCTCAAGTGAATGAGGTATTCAAGAATGAGACTTGCATCTAGAACGTGGTGATGTGGGTGCTCCTGTCCTATTCCTTAAGCCTTCAGGGTGTATTGGGAGGCTGTTTGAGTCAGTGATGAAAAGCCCAGGCCCAGGGGTGCCTAGGTGGCTCAGGAGGTTAAGCCTCTGCCTTTGGCTCAGGTCATGATCTCAGGGTCCTGGGATTGAGCCCTGTGTTGGGCTCACTGCTCAGCAGGGAGCCTGCTTCCCCTTCTCTCTCTGCCTGCCTGTCTACCTACTTGTGCGCGCGCGCGCGCGCGCTCTCTCTCTCTCTCTCTCTCTCTCTCTGTAAAATAAATAAATAAATCTAAAAAATAATAATAATAATAAGACCAGGCCGAGTTTGAGCTCTGACTTCACTCCTTAATTTGCTACCTAATTCAGCAAGTCATTTTGATTCTCTTTTATTTTCATCCTCCTTAGAGTAGAGCAGTTATCAGCCCTATTAACCTTCATGGGGTCCTTATTAAGAGGATTAAATCACATACTATCCATATTCCTGAAACTCAGAGCCCAGGGCTTAGCACATAGTATTCTGTTAAAAGTTCACTGTAATTGTTCTGCTGCTTAAAGCTTTATTCTTATTCCATTCTCATTTTTCTCTTTTCAGTACAAGTTCAGAGATCTAACTGTGGAAGAACTAAAGAATGTAAATATGTTTTTCCCACATTTCAGATATTCTATGGACACCTATGGTAAGAATCATAACCCCTAGTTTTAGCTACATTAAATTGTTAATTATTCACAGAGAGCTACAAAGTTATAATTTCTCATTTCTCTCTTCTGTCCCTTGATTTTGAACTATACTTTGCAACCTGTGGTTTAGGAGGAAATTTAAGTTAATACAATGTATTGTATTAGTTTTCTGTTGCTGCCAGAACAAATTAGCAAAAATGTTACAGGCTTAAATACAGAAAACAAATTTTGGTTGCCAGAGGGGTTGTGGTGCTGGGGTGCATGGGTGAAAGAGAGGAAGGCAATTAAGAGTACACTTAACTCGATAAGCACTGACAAATATATAGAATTGTTGAATCATAATATTGTACATCTGAAACTAATAGAACACTGTGTTATTATGCTTGAATATAAATGAGTAAGTAAATAAAATAAAAAGCGAACAATGACAACCAATCAGCACAAATTTAGTAGCTTAAAAAAACTGAAGTTTAGGGGCACGTGGTTGGCTCAGTCTGTTAAGCATCTGCCTTCAGCTCAGGTCGTGATCCTGCAGTCCTGGGATCGAGTCCTACATTGGGCTCCCTGCTCAGTGGGAGCCGGTTTCTCCCCCTCCCTCTGCTGCTGCTCTCTCTCAAACAAATAAAATCTTTAAAATAAAAAACAACAACAAAAAGCAAAACTCAAGGTTACTGTCTTACAGTTCTGTAACCTAGAAGTGCAACACATGTTTGGACTAAAATCGAAGTGTTGGAAAGTCTTAGTTCCTTTATGGAGGCTCTGGCAAAGGGTCTGTTTCCTTGCCTTTTTATTATTTTTATTTTTTTTAAAGTTTATTTATTTCTTTTAGTAATCTCTACATACAAGGTGGGGCTGAAACTCATGACCCTGAGATCAAGAGTTGCATGATCCACTGACTGAGCCAGCTAGGTGCCCCTCCTTGCCTTTTAAAATTTCTAATGGTGACCCACATTCTTTTGCTCCTGATCTCTTTCCTCCATCTTCAAAGGTAGCAATGTTGCATCTCTCAGACCATCCTTCTGTAGCCATATCTTTTTTTTTTTTTTAAGAACCAATGTGATTAGATTAGGCTCACTCCAATAGCATAGGATAATTTCCCCATCCCAGGGTTCTTAACTTAATTGCATCTAAAATGTCTCTTTGCTAAATAAGTTAACATATTCACAGGTTCCAAGGGTTAGGATTTTGGGCATCTATGGAGGCCATTATTCTGCCTACCATATGGTTGATTCTGAATTATTAATAACAAAAGTTTTAGTTATCTTGTTCACTTATAGTTGCCTAAGAAAGATTTTACGTTACCATCTTTCAGAATTTCTGACCATAAGCCATACATGGAGATACATTTCTTTTTAAAGATTTCATTTGTTGGGGCACCTGGGTGGCTTAGTGGGTTAAGCCGCTGCCTTCGGCTCAGGTCATGATCTCAGGGTCCGGGATCGAGCCCCGCATCAGGCTCTCTGCTTGGCAGGGAGCCTGCTTCCCCCTCTCTCTCTGCCTGCTTCTCTGCCTACTTGTGATCTCTGTCTCTTTGTCAAATAAATAAATGAAATCTTAAAAAAAAAAAAGATTTCATTTGTTCATTTGAGAGAGAGCATGAGAGAGAGAGTGCACACAAGCATCAAGGAGGGGTAGAGGAAGAAGGAAACTCCCTTCCGATGAGCAGGGAGCCCGATGTGGGACTCTATCCCAAGACTCTGGGATTTATTGAATGCCTGATATGTTACCAAATGTTTTAGCTACATTATCTTACATATTTTTTACAACCAAAGCTGTGAGGGTGCCTGGGTGGCTCAGTGGGTTAAGCTGCTGCCTTCGGCTCAGGTCATGATCTCAAGGTCGTGGGATCGAGTCCCGTATCAGGCTCTCTGCTCAGTGGGGAGCCTGCTTCCTCCTCTCTCTCTCTCTGCCTGCCTCTCCATCTACTTGTGATCTCTCTCTGTCAAATAAATAAATAAAATCTTTGAAAAAAAAAAAAAAAGCTGTGAGGTGTTACCACCTTCGTTTTTCAGATAAAGAACCTGAGGCTCAAAAAGAGTTTAAATAGCTCGCTCAAGTACACAGGAAGTTAGAGATGGAGTCGGCTTTGTACATGTGTCTGTCTTGCCTTCTGCTCAAATACAGCTTGTTCTTTTATTTTTTTATCCTTTTTTTTTCTTAAGATTTTATTTATTTCCCAGAGAGAGAGAGAGACAGGGAGAGAGGGAGCACAAGCAGGGTGAGTGTGAGAGGGAGAAGCAGGCTTCCTGCTGAGCAGAGAGCCCATTGTGGGGCTCAATTCCAGGACCCTGGGATCATGACCTGAGCCGAAGGCAGACGCTTAATGACTGAGCCACCCAGGCGCCCCTAGCTTGTTCTTTTAAAGGTCTTTCTTCATCATAGAGACTTAAAAATGTCATTATACCAGTTAATTCTTAGTTTCATTTTCTCCATTTAGAGCAAGCTAGCCATGCCATTAAACTCTTAAGCTATAGGATTAATATTGTCAGTGTACATTTCATTTTTGAATACAGCGATAGTCATGTGTCATAATCACTTCTATTTTGGATTATTAGATTATATATATTTACACCTACATCTTCTCTACCACATTTCTAGGTTATTCTGTTTTCTTGAGTAACAGTCCCTTTTCCACTGTTCTTTTTCATTTTTGTTTTTGCCATGGAGTGAGATCCCTTTACCCACTCTTACCTTTACTTATATAGTTCAAGGTAAACATTTGTGTTTATGTATCCTCTTGGCCTTGAATTTTCTATCAGCCTGGTTTCCTCTTTTCACTTTCTAATAGGTCATAAAATTTAGTTAGAATTTTTCCTCCTATTGCCTAAATAGGATGGTTACTAAGTATTAAGAGAACTACCTTCTCAGGCAGTTGAGTAGTTTGAAACCAGAGGTAGTGTTTTCTGTATTCAGTTCAGAGTTGAGAGCATTAATTCTCTGCCACTGTATACACAGTCATTGATGGGTTAAGTTGAAGTTACAGACACATGAAGGTGGAAAAAAGATTGAAAATAATGGAGTTAAAGAAATTGAGGAAGATAATTAGTGATCTTTCTTTTTTTTTTTCCTTAAAGATTTTATTTATTTATTTGACAGACAAAGATCACAAGTAGACAAGAGAGGCAGGCAAAGAGAAGTGGGAGTGGGGGGAAGCAGGCTCCCTGCTGAGCAGAGAGCCCGATGCGGGGCTCGATCCCAGGACCCTGAGATCATGACCTGAGCTGAAGGCAGAGGCTTTAATCCACTGAGCCACCCAGGCACCCAATTAGTGATCTTTCAAAAAAGTCAGTTTAAAAAATAAAGCTAACACTTTTTTCCTTATAAAATTATAGTCTGGGGACGACTGGGTGGCTCAGTTGGTTGGACGACTGCCTTCGGCTCAGGTCATGATCCTGGAGTCCCGAGATCGAGTCCCGCATCGGGCTCCCGGCTCCGCAGGGAGTCTGCTTCTCTCTCTGACCTTCTCCTTGCTCATGCTCTCTCTCACTGTCTCTCTCTCAAATCAATAAATAAAAAAAATCTTTAAAAAAAAAATTATAGTCTGGTATCTGAAAGTGATTATAACTGATTTGTTACATGTGACAATTATTTGATAATGTCCCCACATTTGCTAATCCTAAACTTCTTAGGTGTGTTTTCACATTAACTCATTAGATCCTTATGACAACTTTATGATGCAGTCTTACTGTCTTTATTGTATAGATGATGGAACTGAATGTCAAAGAGATTGAAGTAGCCAAAAGTTGCCGGTGTCTGAGTGGGGAAAGTAGGCCTAGAACCTGGGATTTCTGTATCAAAGCCCTGTGTGTTTTCAGCTGTCCTCTTGACTTTCTAAGAAAACAGTATCTAGTAATTTCCCCCTTGTCAGCATATTTACAGATTCAAAGATGATGAACTTTAGAAATTATGTGTGCTTCTTTACATGTGTATATGCATGCTACAAACTTAAAACTGTTTTTTCTACTTTTGAGTGCACATTTTGGGGCTTTTTTTCTTCCAGTGTTCAAAGATAGTTCCCAGAAAGACCTGCTGAATTTCACTGGCACTATTCCTGTGATGTATCAGGGTAAGTGTGGCAATTGAGAAAATGTGGGAGTTTTGTAAAAGAGCCACTAAACAAGAACTTACCTTTGTTTAGTCCCCTAACATTCTGAAAGTATTTTCACATATATTTTTTCATATATATATATGTGTGTGTGTGTGTGTGTGTGTGTGTATAAAATCTATACAGAACCTTGTTGGACATAGCAGAATGCTGTCCCATCTAGTCGGTGGCCTAGATTAATAACAGTTAATCCAGTTCAGTTCAACAAATACTTACTGAGTGTCAACTATGTGCGACTACTCTGCTAGGGGCTAGTGTACAGAGGAAGATAAGACAGGTGTGGGGGAGGAAGATCTTCCTCTGCTCTTAGCTGGACTTAGAATCAAATTGACATGAGACGGATAAAAAGGAGAAATTCAAACTAAATAGGTGTGTGTATGGGGGATGCACCAGATGTGAGATTCCAAAGGCAATGCGGTAACATGAAGCTTATATGAGCTAAGGAGAGGGGAGGGGCCTGTGGACACAAAAGGGAAACAAACATTTAGCAAGAAGGGAAAGGAGATGCTTGGAAAAACAAAGGTTGCCCTATTATGTAGTAAGTTTTTTAGGTAAAGGGGAGTCTCTGTAAGGAACTCTTTTCCTGGTACAGGCTCGTCTTTCCCGCGTAAATTTCGGCATTTGAGAGGGAGACAGAGAGCATTTCCTGTATCTGCTGGGTTTCGATTACTTTTAACTCAAAATCATCTTTATGCCAAAGTGGCCTGTCTTGGGCTGCCTGCCCTGGGCTCCTACACAGATATAGGCCTGCTCTTAGGGAGCGTTCTTGTTGCTTTCCATAGCAAAATGCAAGGATCACACCTTTTTCTCCATTACATCAGTGTTTTATTCCTCTCCCTTTCCATCTGTATGATGTCCCCATTCTATGGGTGAAACTGAATCTTAGCCTTGTCAAGTGATTTACCTAAGACCACATAGTGGTATCAGGCTATAACTTGAAACTCCAACAGGAAATTTGAGGCCATTAGAGCTCAAAGAAAGCAACATATTTTCAGGTGGCCTGACAGGTTAAAATAATTAAGTGCCAAAAAGAACAAACAAAAAAATCACTAGCTCCCCTATACTTAACTCTTCCTAGTTTTCCAGACCTACTTCTGTCAATATTCAACAGGACTAACCTTTCACATAGGTATGGGTGATTCTTCTATAGTATGATGTAAAGAACACCAGGGAAGCATTGGTTTTAATATATTTCTCTGAAGGGGTGCCTGAAATGCCACAACTAAAAATTTATTCCTCTTTTAAAATGCAAAAAATCCCAGGAAGGATATTATCCAAAATCACTAATACACAGTGCTGTGTTTATAGAAAATGCTTGATAAATATTTATTGAATGGTTGAGTTTGTTTATTTGGTTTCTGACTAATAAATGAATTTGCTGGGCATGTGAGAGAGGAGGTGCCCTGAAAAAAGGGCTGAGGAGGATTTGAAAACAAATGGGGAGAGAACAGTGGAGTTTGCTCCTTTACCAAAGGTTCAGCTCTGTACTGTGGGAATACACTACTTAAAAGGCACAAAGAAGCTATATTTCAGGGGACTTTTTTCAAAGCAGGTGCTTCATTTCAGTAGTCCCCAGACTGTTATAAACCCTCCCTAATTTCTTCCCATCCGTAATCGTCATTGCCAGGGGTGCGCTCATCTTTTATTCATGTCCCACTATGACACCTGCTTTGGCACAAGAAATGCATAGAAATTCAGTTTGGTTTTTATACATAGCAATGTGGTTGCAGATGAAAGTCGCTAGCAGTGAGCTCTGCAGAAACTGCAAAATTGATTTTCATTTTCCTCCTTGCTCCTTTCCTGCCAACCTCTCAGACTCTTACCAGGCTGCCTAGAGAACCTTTCTCAGACCTGATCCCCATTGCTTGTGTTCTGCATTTATTATGATTAGATATTAGAAAGAGAGAGAGAGAATTATTGCCTACCCTAATGACTGATTGGTTGATGGATTTCATTCCCAATTCTTACCCACCCCAGTGATGTCAAGGGTAATTATATATTAACAGAGGAGCTCATGAATTTAAATGAGTCACTGCTCAGTGTGGGGAAGTAACAGGAGGGTGTAAAACTTATTTTAATATCATTGGTATGATGCCCCTCATTGGCATTCTGCCTTTCCAAGAGCCAAGGAGTTATTTCATTGATTCTTACACTGGGTCTTCCAAGGTGATAATGGTACCTGCAGTACCTTTATCTTTGCAGTACACTCTTTTTTTTCTCTGCTTTTGAGTAGAATTATATCAACTCAGTGTGATCCACACTAGTTATTTCCTGCCGATCAGACGGTCAGAATGTATTGTCTTTATTGTCTGTAAAATGGCACAATAGTACAGCCTCGCTCTAGGACTATGAGGATTAAATGAATTACTGTAAGTAAAGCTCTTGGCATTATGCCTGGCACATAATAGATGCTTAATAAATGTTGACCGTGATTATTTGTCTGCTTATATTTCTTTCAGTTACTAGTTTTATTAGTATACTAATAATGTATACTCATGCTAAGAAAACTTAAACAATTGAGAAAGGACGAGGTTAAGCTTATAACTAACTTCCTACCCACTCCTATTCGCTTGATGAATCTTCCATTGATACTTCCTTATACATACCTGCAGACATTTCTCGATTATTTCTTATTATCTCTCCAAGATTGTGTCAAGGTTGTGATGACACTTTTTCTTCATCCACTCATTCTTTAGAGATGTGTATTCATCTTAATATGATGATATGCATCTGAACTTTATTTACAGCTAACTTAAGTTATACTTTTATGATATAATTACTTCAGATCTGAGGACTTTACCAGGAGTTCTGACTCTTTGGCAATGAATTATTGAAAGCTAAATGGGCAGGGTAGGAGACAGGGCATTTGCTGACAGAAAAGAATGGAGAAGAAGGAAGGAAGAAGAGAACAGAACACCAGTAGTGAATCTTACCAGTTAGACATGGGAATCAGGCTCACCCATTGCTTTGCCAAGCATGGGCTATGAAAATGCATGGACGCTCCTGGGGACGGGCATTGAGAGATGCAGCAGGTCCTTGATCAATTAGGAAGGTACCATCAATAGACATTTATTTCCTTTTCTTTAATGTGTAATGATTAACACAGAAAGTGGAACCATCAGGATTTGGCCTACTATAACTATATTATGAAACAAAAAAATTTGCATGGCCTAGAACGATGATTTTCAAATGTTTTGATTGTGACACACAATAAGAAATACTTTTATATACATAGTGTACACATGGGTGTGCAAACACACACTATATACATATATATCTTAAACACCATACTAACTGTCATTTATTTTATTTTCAATTCCATTTTAAGATATTGTTTGCAGCCTGCTAAATTAATTTTGTGACCAAATTATCATGAACACAATTTGAAAAACACTACTCTAGAAAATATATAATATTCGACAGAGTAACTACTTCTGGAGGAATCTGATGGTGTGTCTCAGTACCCGTCAGTCACTTTGTGGTGCTTTGATCACATGACTTTATAATCATAGAATTATCTACGGATCAATTGTTATATTATGCCTATACCCAAATTGTAAATATTTAGACACTATGGTAATGAATGTTGACTATACTTACTGTAGTGATCATTTTGCAGTATATACAAATATCAAGATACTACATTATACAGTGAAACTAATATGTTATATGTCAGTTGTATCCCAATTTAAAAAATTGTTTTAAGACTTAGACAAAAGTAGAAGAGGAGTGTGGTCCTGAGAACTAAATCACATGGAAAGCTTTTAAAAAATGTTATCCACACCCGTCCCATGGAATCAGAAGCTTTGGGGGAGTGGCCCAGATACTGGTATGTTTCCAAGTTCCTTAAGTGCTTTTAATGTGAAGACAGGGCTGAGTATCCTTGTATTTTTAGAGGAGGAACCAAGATGAGAAAAGCAGCTGTCAGTGGAAGGAAGATCTCCTTAGCAAAATAGGATTGTAGTGGAAAATAAAACTTGGCCTATTTCCAAAATGGGTTTGAGGTAAATTACAAAAATTGCCAACCCTTCATGGTATTCCCCATGTCATGCACCGTTCTAAGAATTGCATACCTTAACTAACTTTTACATACCTTAACTAACTTCATCCTCACAACAACCCAATGGGGTCAGAGGTATAATTATTTCCATTTTATAGGGGAAGAAATTGAGGCACAGGGAAGTTAAGGAACTTGCCTAAAAATCATAAAGCTAGTCATAGGTGAAACTAGGATTTGAACCTGGGCATTCTTGCTCCTGAGCTGCCCGGGTCACAAGTATAATGAAAGACATGCAGTAAGACCTGTCAGGAGATAGAACAGAACAGCTAAGGTAATTGATCAGATTTCTAGTTTAAGTTTAGTTTTTTACATTTTTATTAGGCTTAGCTTTGGGCTTGCTGGCATCCAGAGCCGTGAGAGATTTTTGCTCTTGGTAGGCTTGAGGTATGTACGTAGTAACTGGTTAACACTGAAAGGGCCTGCACTCAAGTTCCTGTCTCTCTGTACGCTCCATTCTAAGAACCACTGGACGAGGTAACTCTGGAGGTTATTTTCAGCTCCGAGTTCGATGTGTCTAACCCAGCTCGTTCGTGCTTAAGGAGTGACTTGAGGGTTGGTATCAAAAGTATTGACTTTGTCTTTGTTGATTGATTCATTTTTCATTTGTTTCTTCATTCACTCACTCTTACTTATATAAGAAACCTTTTTTCTCAGCCAGTATGTTAGGCACTGTACTTGGTGCAGGGGATATAGAAATGAATAATACATCATCCTCTGGGAGTTTACATTGTGAAAGGAAACACAGACCCTGTAGGCAAATAACTTCAACGCAGTATAAGTATAAAAATAGAAAGTGTCCACTACCTTTCAAGAAAGGTGGAATAGCGCTGCTCGGGTGGAACAAAGAAGGTTGCATGGATAAGATGCTGCAGCCCAGATTCCTGGCACAGCAGGTCTTATAAATATTTACTGAATTGCATGAGCTGGTCGTTGTCTTAATTTAATTTCTTCAAGTGTTATGCTGGTGCTTTCATGGGAACGTGAAAATGGAGAGGTAGGCCTTGATTTACATAAATCCTTTATATATACACTTGACGACACTACACGTCTTCAAATGCCACCTAGCTGTACCATAAATATGATGTGTGTGCTTCATCATTGTTTGAAAAAGTGTTTATTTTGTCTCAAATAGGTAATACGTATAATATACCAATTCGTTTGTGGATTTTGGATTCCCACCCTTTTGCTCCCCCCATTTGCTTCTTAAAGCCAACTGCAAATATGGGCATCTCAGTTGGAAAACACGTGGATGCTCAAGGCAGAATATACTTGCCCTGTCTTCAGAACTGGAGCCATGTAAGATACTTTGGATTTTCTTTTACAAGTTTTTGTTTTTCTGAGCATCTGTCTTTATCCTAAGGGTACAGATGAGGTACTGAATTTTCTTTCAATGGTATTCCTTGTATGGACTTGAAAAATATTTTGAAACTGAGCTCCTTGGAGTTGCTCAAGTTCCAGAACCCCAGTGACAGACCGCAGCCTGTATGAAGTGCTCTCTCCACGTTTGGAGCCAACTTTTATTTGCTCCCTCTTCTGATAGCTGCGCACTACTTGATAAAACATGTGAAAAGTTACTAGCAAGATATTGGACATTAGTTCCTAGTCCCTCCTTCTTAAAGATTCTTACATAATTTATGTAATTATTTGTAGTTTTGCCCAGTTTTAACCTTTATGTAAATTGAACCACACTGTATATAATCTTCTGTTACATGTTATGTTTTAACTGAGCATTAAGTTTTAACCAGTTTACTTGCTTTACAAGTTCTCACACGCAGTTCTGTTTTCTGGACTTTTCATCTACCATTACATTGAGCACTTCTCATTTTAAACAGTATTTTCAAAATACATCGTCTTTAAATTGGTTGCCAGATGATCTCACATAAAAAATATTGGCATAATGTATTTACAAATTGATCTGTTGTTAGAAATTTAATGATGAGCATCCTTAATATGTACATATAAATGTATATATATTATAAATCTTTAATAATTTCCCATTGATAAATTTCTAAGAGCAGGATTGTTGGATCAAAGTTTATAAATATTTTGAAGGCTATTCTTATATATTGCCAAATTCGTCTCCAAAAGGTAGACAATATGTATGTCAGCCATCACTTGAAATCAGCGTAGAATCCCTGTTTTGTAGTACTTTCATTCTAACAGAAGGTACTATCATTAAAGCAAAACAAACCTTTGCTTCTCTCTATATATTTACTTAGAAGGATATAGAGTATGTTCTCCTTTTTGTAAGTAATTTCAATTTTTATGAAAGGATAATTTACGTGTCCAGGAAGTTGTAGGACAGGAGGACTGGGAACCCCTGAATGAGACCAAGGATATGTCAAGAGTCAGGTAAAGCTGGAGTAGAGAATGGTGTTAGGATTACAACTTTTTAAAAAATATATATATCCTATAAAAAGGTGTGCAATTATTTTGTCTTTATACTTTTCTATATATTTCATATATATAAAACGAATAAAAAGAAGAAAAGAAGAAATGCAAAAGGAAGGGATGCTCACCAGGTGGCTGAGAGACATTAGGTGGAGGAACACTGACCTTTTACTTTATGAATCTGTACATGATTTGCTTTATTTGGTGATTTTAATAAATAAGATTCCCAGTTAAATGTGATAAATAGGGCATAATAAAAATTTGTCATTTGGAGGGACAAAAATGTTATCTTTTTTTTTTAATTTTTTAATTAACATACAATGTATTATTAGCCCCAGGGGTACATGTCTGTGAATCACCAGGCTTACACACTTCACAGCACTCACCATAGCACATACCCTCCCCAATGTCCATAACCCAACCACCTCTCCCTAGCCCCCTACCCCCGGCAACCCTCAGTTTGTTTTGTGAGATTAAGAGTCTCTTATGGTTTGTCTCCCTCCCGATCCCATCTTGTTTCATTTATTCCTTTCCTACCCCCCAAACCCCCCACGTTGCCTCTCAACTTCCTCATATCAGGGAGATCATGTGATAATTGTCTTTCTCTGATTGACTTATTTCACTAAGCATAATGCCCTCTAGTTCTATCCATGTCGTTGCAAATGGCAAGATTTCATTTCTTTTGATGGCTGCATAGTATTCCATTGTGTATATATATATACCACATCTTCTTTATCCATTCATCTGTTGATGGACATCTAGGTTCTTTCCGCAATTTGGCTATTGTGGACATTGCTGCTATTAAACATTCAGGTGCACATGCCCCTTCAGATCACTACATTTGTATCTTTAGGGTAAATATCCAGTAGTGCGATTGCTGGGTCATAGGATAGCTCTATTTTCAACTTTTTGAGGGACCTCCATGCTGTTTTCCAGAGTGGTTGCACCAGGTTGCATTCCCACCAACAGTGTAGGAGGGTTCCCCTTTCTCCGTATCCTTGCCAGCATCTGTCATTCCCTGACTTGTTAATTTGAGCCATCTGACTGGTGTGAGGTGGTATCTCATTGTGGTTTTGATTTGTATTTTCCTGATGCCAAGTGATGTGGAACAATTTTTCATGTGTCCATTGGCCATCTGGATATCTTCTTTATAGAAATGTCTGTTTGTGTCCTCTGCCCATTTCTTGATTGGATTATTTGTTCCTTGGGTGTTGAGTTTGATAAGTTCTTTATAGATTTTGGATGCTAACCCTTTATCTGATATGTTGTTTGCAAGTATCTTCTCCTATTCTGTCAGTTGTCTTTTGGTTTTGTTAACTGTTTCCTTTGCTGTGCAAGAGCTTTTGATCTTGATGAAGTCCCAATAGTTCATTTTTGCCCTTGCTTCCCTTGCCTTTGGCGATGTTCCTAGGAAGAAGTTGCTGTGGCTGAGGTCGAAGAGGTTGCTGCCTCTGTTCTCCTCAAGGATTTTGATGGATTCCTTTCTCACATTGAGGTCCTTCATTCATTTTGAGTCTTTGTTTGTGGTGTAAGGAAATGATCCAGTTTCATTTTTCTGCATGTGGCTGTCCAGTTTTCCCAACACCATTTGTTGAAGAGGCTGTCTTTTTTCCATTGGACATCCTTTCCTGCTTTGTCGAAGATTAGTTGACCATAGAGTTGAGGGTCTATTTCTGGGCTTTCTGTTCTGTTCCATTGATCTGTGTATCTGTTTTTGTGCCAGTACCATGCTGTCTTGATGATGACAGCTTTGTAGTAGAGCTTGAAGTCTGGAATTGTGATGCCACCAACTTTGGCTTTCTTTTTCCACATTCCTCTGGCTACTCGGGGTCTTTTCTGGTTCCATATAAATTTTAGGATTATTTGTTCCATTTCTTTGAAAAAAAAATGGATGGTATTTTGATAGGGATTGCATTAAACGTGTAGATTGCCTTAGGTAGCATAGACATTTTCACAGTATTTGTTCTTCCAATCCATGAGCATGGGACATTTTTCTATTTCTTTGTGTCTTCCTCAGTTTTTTTCATGAGTACTTTATAGTTTTCTGAGTATAGATTCTTAGCCTCTTTGGTTAGGTTTATTCCTAGGTGTCTTATGGTTTTGGGTGCAACTGTAAATGGGATGACTCCTTAATTTCTCTTTCTTCTGTCTTCATGTTGGTGTATAGAAATGCAGATGACTTCTGTGCATTGATTTTATACTCTGACACTTTACTGAATTCCTGTTCAAGTTCTAGCAGATTTGGAGTAGAGTCTTTTGGGTTTTCCACATATAGTATTATATCATCTGCAAAGAGTGATGGTTTGACTTCTTCTTTGCCAATTTGGATGCCTTTAATTTCTTTTTGTTGTCTGATTGCTGAGGCTAGGACTTCTAGTACTGTGTTGAATAGCAGTGGTGATAATGGACATCCCTGCCATGTTCCTGACCTCAGAGGAAAAGCTCTCAGTTTTTCTCCATTGAGAATGATACTCGCTGTGGGTTTTTCATAGATAGCTTTGATGATATTGAGGTATGTACCCTTTCTCCCTACACTGTGAGGAGTTTTGATCAAGAAAGAGATGCTGAAGGGCACCTGGGTGGCTCAGTGGGTTAAGCCTCTGCCTTCGGCTCAGGTCATGATCCCAGGGTCCTGGGATCGAGCCCCTCATCGGGCTCTCTGCTCAGTGGGGAGCCTGCTTCCCTTCCTCTCTCTCTCTGCCTGCCTCTCTGCCTACTTGTGATCTGTCAAATAAATAAATAAAAATCTTAAAAAAAAAAAAAAGAAAGAGATGCTGAAAAAGCTTTTGACAAAGTACAGCATCTATTGAGAGTATCACGTGGTTCTTGTTCTTTCTTTTATTAGTGTATTGTATCACATTGATTGATTTGCGGATGTTGAACTGACCTTGCCGCCCTGGAATAAATCCCACTTGGTTGTGGTGAATAATCCTTTTAATGTACTGTTGGATCCTATTGGCTAGTATTTTTTTTCTTTTCTTTTTTTTTTTTCTTTTTAAAGATTTTTTTTTTTTATTTATTTGACAGACAGATCACAAGTAGGCAGAGAGGCAGGCAGAGAGAGACAGGAGGAGGAGGCAGGCTCCCTCCTGAGCAGAGAGCCCGATGCGGGACTCGATCCTAGGACCCTGAGATCATGACCTGACTGAGCCACCCAGGCGCCCCCTATTGGCTAGTATTTTGGTGAGAATTTTTGCATCTGTGTGTCATCAAGGATTTTGGTCTGTAATTCTCTTTTTTGATGGGATCTTTGTCTGGTTTTGGGATCAAGGTAATGCTGGCCTCATAAAATGAGTTTGGAAGTTTTCCTTCCATTTCTATTTTTTTGGAGCAGTTTCAGGAGAATAGGAATTAATTCTTATTTAAATGTTTGGTAGAATTCCCCTGGGAAGCTGTCTGGCCCTGGGCTCTTGTTTGTTGGGAGATTTTTGATAACTGCTTCAGTCTCCTTACTGGTTAGGTCTGTTCAGGTTTTCTGTTTCTTCCTGGTTCAGTTGTGGTAGTTTATATGTCTCTAGGAATCCATCCATTTCTTCCAGATTGTCAAATTTGCTGGCATATAGTTGCTCATAATTTGTTCTTATAATTGTTTGTATTTCTTTGGTGTTGGTTGTGATCTCTCCTCTTTCATTCATAACTTTATTTGGGTCCTTTCTCTTTTCTTTTTGATAAGTCTTGCCAGGGGTTTATCAATATTATTAATTCTTTCAAAGAACCAGCTCCTAGTTTCATTAAATGTTCTACTGGTTTTTTTTTGTTGTTATTGTTGTTGTTTCTGTTTCATTGATTTCTGCTCTGATCTTTATTATTTCTCTTCTCCTGCTGGGTTTAGGCTTTCTTTGTTGTTCTTTCTCCAGCTCCTTTAGGCTTAGGTTGTGTAAAAAAATGTTATCTTAATGTTTAGTTTCGTGACTGAAATTGAAATCTTTTTCATATATCAGTCGGTTATGTATGCTCCTTCTTTTTTGAATTGTCTATCTTCTTCATCCATTTTTACCCTTCTTTTTTAATTTTTTGGTAAGCTATCCTCAAACAGTATTTTGACATCTGTGCCCTGTTTTGGGAATTCATATTTCCTGTTTCCTCTTTCTGGTTTTCATTGGGATCTCTTTTCATAGTTTTGTTCATATAGTAAATACTCAGAGATAGTCCCATGGTCTAGTTGAGATTGTGCTTGATTTCAGTTCAAACAGTATTGATTCCATTTTACTGTTTGAACCTCTTTATTATGTATAAGCTAAAACAAGTTTTTTTTTAATTTAAACTAGTCTTAAGAAGACAATACATTATTTAAATTGCCCTATTTAAAAGTACTACAGTAACTTTTAAGTTGCTCATGCAGTTGGAATTTTAATTATGTAGTAGAATTACATAGAATTTTGGAACTGGAAGAAATCTAGAGGCTGTCTAGGCCAAGGATTGCAGATGTTTTCTCTGAGAGATTCAGTGTGCTCTGTTAGGTCTACAGAATTTTGTTGAACAGCAAAAGTGGTTTTGTTTTGTTCTTAGTATGAATTTGAATGCCTATGTGTATACTCTTTCCAATTTGCCACAATAACCATCTCCCTAAATTTTCTCATACTTGACAACTTCACACATTATTATCTGCTTGGTCTTTAAAAACTTCATCCTCTTGATTTATAAATAGTGAAACTCAGACTCTGATAAATTAAGCATTTTTTAAAATAAGCAAACTAGTAAATATTTTTAATAATAATAAATATTTTACACTTATAGCATATAGGTTACATGCATTTGTTTCTCATAACAGCCACTTGAGATTTATTTTTCATATTATATTGCATAATAATATATTATATTTTTCATATTATACTGCTGATAAACTGAAGGTCAGAGAGTTTAAGTGGATTGCTTAATAAATTAATAGAAACAGTACTGGGTTAGATAATATTTTATCAGTGTTTATTGATTTGATAATAGTTATATAGGAGAAATTTTTTTTTGAGGGGTTTTTTGTTGTTTTTTTTTTTTAACAGATTTTACTTTTACTTTTTTGATAGAGCGTATGCACACATGGAGTGGGAGGAGGGACAGAGGCAGAGGGAGATAGAGAATCTCAGACTCCATGCCAGGTGTGGTGCCCAGCCCGGGACTTGAGCTTATGTCCCTGAGATCACGACCTGAGCTGAAACCAAGAGGCAGACACTCAACCAACTGAGCCACTGAGCCACCCAGGAGTCCCTGTTTTGTTTTTTCTTTTAGGAAATACACACTAAAGTATTTAGGGGTGAAAAGGTATTAATCTGCAATTTATTCTCAGCTGGTTCAGAAAAACATAGAGAGGGAAGGAGATAGAAAATATCTGTGCTAAAAAGTTAACATTTGAGTGAGCTGGGTGAAGAGCATATGAAAATTTTTTGTACTTGTTTTTTTTTAACTTTTCTGTAAGTCTGCACTTATTTTAAAATAAAAAAATACAGACAATTCCTGAACATAGGTACTTTGCTATAAGCACATTCATGTTATTTTCCCATCTTTTGGTGATATGGATTAGCATTTCTCTAATTTTCAGTTTAAAGAATTAAATAATTTTTCAGTTAAAAGTCTTATGTATTTTGTACAGTAGTTTTTAAAAACTAAGAGCATAATACAAAACTTTCTGTTCATTAACTTCATAATAATATATAGGTTAACAAGGTAATATTCTTTAGGAAAATTTTTACATAACTTTTCCCTTTGTATTCTGCAGCCTAAATCTGTCATTGTTGGGCTAATTAAAGAAATGATTGCCAAGTTTCAAGAGGAACTTCCCCTGTATTCTCTACCATCATCTGATGAGGCACGGCAGGTAGACTTGCTAGCCTATATTGCAAAAATCACTGAAGGTTTGTATTTTTGTTAATGAGAGAGTTATGAATTTACAATTTCTCACTAATATCCTTTACTCTCTGCTACTGGATTTCTGTAAATAAATATATTCATGTATCTGTACATATCTCTGTTGAATCAAAAATTCCTGTACATCTATTATAGGGTGTTACCCTACAGTTCCAATAATTATAGTTTCTTAAAATGTAAAAGGTTGCTCTTACACTGACAGATAAAATAATTCTGTGTTTTATTCAAAATCACTTGATATGACAATCCCAAACCTTTTTCATCATATGAACAGTTTTCATTATATTTTTGTGGCTTTTTGTCTCATTCAATAAATGATTGGATCAGAAAATTTATGATTCTCAATGTTTCTCATTGAGGATAAAGCAAAATATCCATGCTTATAAAATTCAGTGAGGCGTTAAACATTTTTGCATTATAGACCAGAGCAGTAAGAATCAGAATATCATTCAGAATGATGGAAATTCTATTTTTCAGTCTTGCATAATGTTTTGAATGTTTAGAAAGATACTTTCTTTTTAAAGGGGTAGTCTCTGTTTATTAGAATATTTACTGAGATTCCTATCTGTCTTGCATTTCACTTGTTCAGATATTTTCGAGTGCTTCTTATGGGCTAACACCATGTTTTCTGTCCAAGTTACTAAAAGTTGGTGTATTTTTTTAAGACCCTAAAAAAGATTTTTTATATTATTTCAAGAATTTCATGATAATCCACTTTTATTTCTAGGTGTCTCAGACATAAATTCAAAGAACTGGGTAAATCACGAGCATAAAGCAGTCAATAAAATTACCGTGGTTGGAGGTGGAGAGCTGGGTATTGCCTGCACATTAGCAATCTCAGCAAAGGTATGTAAGCATGGTGGTTATAAATCCATCTGTCATATTGCTATACTTTTAGGCAGTTTATGCTTAACACACAGGAAATAATGGATTCATTTTGTCATGTGGAAAAACTTCATTTTGCCTTAAAATATATTTAGTAAGTTGGCAAAAAAAAAAGTTGAAAGCTCTCATCAGGGATATTGCTTCTTAATTAGTACTTAGTCATGGAATAGGCTTTAAAAAAGAGATTTGAACAATGGGCTCATCATCCTATTCCAAGGGAAGCCTCAACGTGACATTCATCTGACTTAGTCACCAATTCCTTTGTGTTTTCTGAGTCATGCTACTTTAATTAAGCTCTTATTTAATATAATACTTAATTTTAGCTCTTTCTAAAATTAACGATTTTTTCCTTAAAAATTGCCTTTTCTTGTGTAATTACTCCACTTTCTCTTACAATCATAGTTTCTAAATTGAGATTGTATACTAGTTTGAAATTTGTTTATTTTTCCCTCAGTCCTTTTTACTGGATCTTTTGTATGTAAATTATTTTGAGAAAGGCTTAAATACCCTTCCAGACAGGTGCAAAAGCCCTTCCAAGGTCTTGGTATCAGGATAACAGCATGTCTGTGTCTTTTCAGGGATATAGTCCAGAGTGGAATAGTTGTCCCTCTGTGTTTATTTGGTAGCTGGTGTTTTGTTTTTTCTTTCTATTAAAATTTGATTGTCAGGCACCTGGGTGTCTCAGTCGGTTAAGGGTCTGCCTTCGGGCTCAGGTCATGATCCAGGAGTCCTGGTATCGAGCCCCACATTGGACCCCCTGCTTAGTGGGGAGTCTACTTCTCCCTCTGCCCCTCACCCTGCTTGTGCTCTCTTTCTCTCTCTCTCTCTCAAATAAATTAAGTCTTTCAAAAATTTTTATTGTTTGTCATCTAGATTCTTCCCTTTTTATTTCAGACTCACGTGTGTCTTAGAGATAAATTGTACTTTAATAAATAATTAAATTGTATGCAGGGAGCTAGAAAATTTTAAATGCTGGCTGCGCAGAACAATATAGGCTAACTTTTTAAAAAAGATTTTATTTACATGAGAGAGAGAGAGAGGGCCTGAATGAGAGAGAGAGAGAGAGCAGGAGCAGGGGGAGGAGCAGAGGGGAAAGCAGACTCCCCGCGGAACACGGAAGCCCAATGCAGGGCTCAATCCCAGAACCCGGGGATCATGACCTGATCCTAAGGCAGAGGCTTAACCAACTGAGCCACCCAGGCACCCCAACATATGCTAACTTTCGACTTCGTTTCCTTTCCTCCACTCTCCATGTAAATATATTAGTCCCACTTAATTTGAACGGTATTCAATTCCTTTGTTACTAAACAGAATGCTTCCATAAACATTGCTTTAAAAGTTGCTTATTTTCTCCTCTGAATTTTCGTTTAGTTGTACATAATCTCAAAAACGGTACTAGTGTGTGTGGGGATGCCTGGGTGGCTCTGTCAGTTGAACATCTGCCTTCAGCTCAGGTCATGATCTCAGGGTCCTGGGATAGAGCCCCACATCAGGCTCCCTGCTCTGGGTGGAGCCTGCTTCTCCCTCTCCCTCTGCCTGCCACTCCCTCTGCTTATGCTCTCTCTCTCTTTCTCTAGTAAGTAAAGAAAATCTTTTTTTAAAAAATGATTTTATTTATTGGGGCGCCTGGGTGGCTCAGTGGGTTAAAGCCTCTGCCTTTGGCTCGGGTCATGATCCCGTGGTCCTGGGATCGAGCCCCGCATCGGGCTCTGTGCTCAGCGGTGAGCCTGCTTCCCTTCCCCTTTCTCTGCCTGCCTCTCTGTCTACTTGCAATCTCTGTCAAATAAATAAATAAAATCTTAAAAAAAAAGATTTTATTTTACTTATTTATTTGTCAGAGAGGGAGAGAGAGATCACAAGTAGGCAGAGAGGCAGGCAACAAGAAAGGGGGAAGCAGGCTCCCTGTTAAGCAGACAGCCTGATGTGGGGCTCGATCCCAAGACCCTGAGACCATGACCTGAGCCAAAGGCAGAGGCTTAACCCACTGGGCCATCCAGGTGCCCAATAAAGAAAATCTTTAAAAACAAAACAAAAACAAAACAGGGCACCTGGGTGGCTCAGTTGTTAAGCATCTGCCTTCAGCTCAGGTCATGGGGATTGAGCCCCACATCGGGCTCCTTGCTCAGCAGGAAGCCTGCTTCTCCCTCTCCCATTCCCTTTCTTGTGTTTCCTCTCTCACTGTGTCTCTCTCTGCCAAATAAATAAATAAAACCTAAAAAAAAAAAGCCACACACACACTAAAAAACAGCACTGGTCAATCAGAGGGCATGAATGGTCTTTATAGTACTTATTACATATTTCTAGATAGTCCTTCAGGAAATCAGAACTAATCCATGCTGCTAGTAATAGTATGATCATCAGTCTGATTTTTTACATCCCTAACAGTACTGAGTTTTATCAATTTTGTTGGGTTTTGGTTAAGTACCACAAGGCCCCTTAAAGTCATGTTTCTTTAACTGTTGGAAGAGTCTCACTCTCAGTATTCTTTTGTCTGTAAACGTTCTAAATGGAAATTTTTCCATGTGTCTTGTGAATATTGATATTTTGATGCAAGATACAACCTATCAAGTATTATGATACAGTAGTAGTCATAATGGTGTCCATAGTAGTGGTGCAGGTAGCAGTAGGAATTAACCTTTGCTGAATGCTTACTAGGTGCTAGGCACTCAGTGAAACACTAAATTTTACTAAACTTTACCTAACCCTGTATGTTAGGTACTGTCATTATTGGCATTTTACAAATGAAGAAATCAAGGCAGAGGGAGGTTATGCAACTCACCTAAAGTCACACTGTTAATAAATGGAGGCAGGATTTGAAGTGAGGCAGCCTGTTTACAGAGCCTGTATTCTAAATCTTTACTGCTCAGTGTGTGGCTTTTAGCCCAGAAGCACGAGCAATATCTGAGATCTTATTAGAATTGCGTTATCTAAGGCCCCACCCCAGACCTATGGAAGCAAATCTGCATTTTAACACAACCCCTGGTGTTCCATGTGCTGTCCTGATCTATTAACTGGTGATCACTTAAACCTTGGGAGGTTTTGCTCTAAACCGCTATGTTATACTTCCACATTATTGCTGTTGTCCTTACAGACAGACATTTCTAGTCTTTGAATTTCTTTATATGCATCACGTTACACATGTACTAATAAACTTGCAGATAATCTCTATAAGTAAGATAAGTGGATTAAAGGAATTACTGTGTTTTTAAATTCTGATAGAACTTGTCAAATTATCCCCCATATCAATTGTACCAGTTTATTGTCATACCCACAGTGTGTAAGAATACCCATTTTCCCACACTACTGCTGTTTAACTTTTGGATCTGTGTGTGTCTCATAAATAAAAATGGTAACTCATCGTTTTCTTTGCATTTTTCTTTGGAGCGTAGTTGACAATAATAAAATTAATAGGTAAAATTGCCAGCTCTGGGTCACATATTAATCCTCCTAACCCCATGAAGTAAGGCCAAGTTCAATAACTTGCCCAGCATCACAGAGCTAATAAATAGTGTAGCTGGGTTGTTTTCTTTTGTACTTTCTGCCTGATGGTCTGGTAGACCTCTGGGTACTCTTGCCTCTGCACTCTAATATAGGAAAGATCCTCACATTGCTTAGCACTTTAGAAAAAGACCTTCCACAAAGGTAATTTGACTTGGAGGAGTTTCTGTGCCGTCATTTACTGTTAGCCTACCAGGGCACTCAGGGAGCCATCTACAGGCATGCGGAGTGTTTTCCATGAGATCTCTGAGGAGGGTTCTCCATGATAATAGCATTTTATTTTAGATTTATGGCTATTATCCTTATTTTAGTTTTTTTTTTTTTTTTAAGGATCTATTTAGAGAGAGAGCACGAGTGAGAGAGAGAAAGAGCATAAACAGGGGGAGGCACACGAGCAGAGGAGAAGGGAGACGCAGGCTCTCTCCCAGCACCCTGGGATCATGACCTGGGCCGAAGGCAGACGCCACCCAGGTGCCCCATTATCCTTTTTTTAAAAGAGAAACTTGGCATTGGTATTGACAATGAGGCACTAAAACAGAGCAAAAATTACTCTTAAGTACTTTCAGAATGACATTATGACATATATACAGAATGACATTATATATGACATTCATATAATGAAATTATGACATTAAATTGAAAACATAAGCTCAAGAACAACAGTAAGTGTATGGAGTCCACCAACTCATCCTTATTACTCATTGTCCCATCAAAGGGAATCTGCAGTCTGCGACTTCTGAGTTAAGTCCTGCTAGGTCCCAATTTTCAGTCAAGTGTAAAGGATCACATTGCTCAAGTTCATGGTAGTTTCTTGCTTGCATGTCCTTTTATTGCTGTTGTGTTACTTTTCCTACATAAGTCCTGTGCATTCTCCTTTAGCTTCACTTCTGAATAAATTTAACCGAGAACTGGCTGTGTTTGCATAATGCTGTATGTTCTTCTTATTGTACTGTACAGGGCATTGCAGACAGACTGGTCCTCTTGGACCTCTCAGAAGAGACAAAAGGAGGGGTGATGGACCTTGACATCTTTAGCCTGCCTAATGTGGAGATCAGCAAAGGTCTGGTTATTCTGCTTAAAAGATTTTTGCCTCATTTGTTCTTGTATTTGAGTCCTAGAATTTTTTTTTAATGCACTTTTCTTTTAGAACAGTTTTAAGTGCACAGCAACATTGAGCAGATTTCCCATATATATCCCTTATCATTGCACATGTACAGTCTCCCCCATTTTCAACATTCCCCACCAGAGTGGCACAGTTATAACACATCACTGTTATCCAAAATCCATACTTTACATTACGGTTTACTCTTGGTGTTGTACACCCTGTGGGTGTGGACAAATCTGTAATGACATGTATTTACCATTATAGTGTCTTTCACTACTCCAAAAATCCTCTGTGCTCTTCCTTGAGTCATGGAATTTTAATGTTAGAAAGCACATTAAAGATCACCTAGTCCAAGTTCCTCATTTTACATATTGGAAAACTAAGATTAAAATAAATTAAGTGACTTAACCCAAAGTCATACAGAGATTGTAACTGATTATATTAACAAGAGTCAGATGAGCTGATTGGTCAGAAGGATTTAGTCTGTCTTTGACTTATACTGTAATATAAATTTGTTTTCTTTGATTAATTCCATTCTCATAATATATTGGTTAAGAGCAATGGTTTTAGAGTTAGGTAGAGTGTTGCATCCCAGCTCTGCCACGTTATAGCTCCGACATTTGTCAGGTTATATAACCTCTCAAAGTTTAGGGACGCCTGGATGGCTCAGTCTGTTAAGCGATTGCCTTCAGCTCAAGGTCATGATCTCAGGTTCCTGGGATTAAGTCCCACATCTGGCTCCTTGCTCAGTGGGAGGCCTGCTTCTCCCTCTGCCTGCTCTGCCTGCTGCTCCCCCTGCTTATGTTCTCTCTCTCTCTGACAAATAAATAAATAAAATCTTAAAAAAAAAAACCAACTCTCAAAATTTAGTTTTATCATCTATAAAGTGGGAATAATACCTACCTCTTGGCATATGGCAGAGTGTTAAGATTTTTTACAAAAAATGCCTATCTCTTTCACTAGAAATTTATTGTTAAGATAAGTTTTAATAAGAACAAAAGGAATTTTTATCATTAATAAATAAAATTTTAAATGTTGGGAAAGTAGTTTTTTATCTCATCTTTTTTTTTTTTAAAGATTTTATTTATTTATTTGACAGAGAGAGAGATCTCAAGTAGGCAGAGAGGTAGGCAGAGAGAGAGGGGAGGAAGCAGGCTCCCTGCGGAGCAGAGAGCCCGATGCGGGGCTCGATCCCAGGACCCTGGGACCGTGACCTGAGCTGAAGGCAGAGGCTTTAACCCACTGAGCCACGCAGGCGCCCTTATCTCATCTTTTTAATTTAAAAATTTCCATATATTTTTATAATGTACATAATGTATTAGTATGAACATAAATATAAGTTGATACCATATTTGGGGATGTGGGCTTGAAAATATTTTATTACTAGAGATGCATGATCAAAAAAATTGGAAGACCAGGTTATAGCTGAAGTCAGGTTGTAATATGTTATAGTTGTTTGGCTCTCCTTACTTAGGTCCCCTGTACTCCTTGACCATATTGTCCCCGAAAAATTAAAATGGTGACACAAACCTAAATGTACAAAGAACAACAGTGGGTGAGAAAAATTGAAGTTATACCTGCAGGTTGTAAAAATTGGGTGTAATAGTTAAAGTAAGCCTCTGGATCCCTGTAGGATACAACAAGTTCATTTTTGTTGTCTGGAAAGAATACAGTATTTGCTTTAATGATCCTTTTGTAGGCCTCATACAGAGGATCCTTTAGAGAGCTGGATATTCTCTTGTGCCTATCATTTCCAAGTACTAAAATTCTTTAGGGACCTTTTAACTCTTCCAAATCACTTTAGGAGACTTTAGTTTATGGACCCTAGAGGCTGTGAGGCCTTTTAGGATCTGAAGAAATTTCTGCCTGTGTAACTCATTAACCATCAATAACTATTGTTTCATATAATTGAAAGAATAAACCCTTGGAGTAGATGTATAGTGTGTGGTGCTTGCCACCACGTGGGGAATGTTGAATGAGTCCACACCGTCTTGGGGCAACTTTCATGTCCCACTTGTTAATTTGGTTATATGTTCCTGCTAACACAGAATTTAATTACTACTCCATGAACAATTTTAAGTACAATGTTAACGAATATCTCATAAGTATATTCCATAATACGGAGAAGTGCATGAGTAATTTTGGGAAATTAGGGTCAATGGTGTCGAAAATTTGAGAAATGCTCCATCATGACAGGCATTGGTGACTGCGACTAACCATCCTAGAGTTATGCTTTGGCTCCACTTGGACTTTTTCAAAATAGTTATTAAAACATTTTGGGGGGTTGGGAGATGCCTGGGTGGCTCAGTTAAGCATCTGCCTTTGGCTCAGGTCATGCTCCCAGGGTCCTGGGATGGAGCTCCACATTGGCTCCCTGCTCAGCAGGGAGTCTGCTTCTCTCTCTGCCTCTCCTCCCTGCTTGTGTTCCCCCCTCTCTCAAAAATAAATAAAATCTTAAAAACATTTTGGGGAAGGTTATCCATATATACAGATGAGCATGCAAATATACACATATGCCCACAGTTGGGCTTGTGTAAGTATAGACTAAATCTGGAGAAATACAAAGTAATTATTAAGAATAGTTGCTTAAGGGGCACTTGCGTGGCTCAGTCGCTTAAGCATCTACCTTCAGCTCAGGTCATGATCCCAGGATCCTGGGATCAGGCTCCTGGCTCAGTGTGGAGCCTACTTCTCCCTCTCCCTCTGCCTGCCATTCCCCCCGTTTGTGCTCTCTCTTTCTCTCTCTGTCAAAAAAATAAATACTTTAAAAAAAAAAAAAAAGGTAGTTGCTTCAGGAGTCAGACTGGAGAAACTGGTTTTGCACTTATTTTTTGAAGTTAATATTTTTATTCCTTTATTTTTATTTTGTGCTAAAATACATTTATTTTGTGCACTTGGGTGGCTCAGTCAGTTAACTGTCTGCCTTCGGCTCAGATTGTGATCCCAGGGTCACAGGGTCATGCTGCCTGTGCCCTCTCTCTCTCTCTCTCTCTCTCTCTGTCAAATAAATAAATAAATAAATAAATAAAACCTTTAACCAAAAATAAATAAAATGAAATTTAAAAAAATACATATAACGTAAATTTTACCAATAGTGACATTTAGGGCATTCACAGTGTTCTGCAGCCATCACCACTACCTAGTTCCAGAACATTTTGTACCCCCAAAAGGAAACCATGTACACAATAAGCAATCACTCCCCATTTCCCCTCTCCCCATGTCCTGGCAACCACTAATCTGCCCTGTGGACTTGCCTATTCTAGATATGTCGTATAAATGGAATCATACAATATGTGGCCTTTCATGTCTGGCTTCTTTCACTTAGCATCATGTTTTCAACATTCATCCATATTATAGCATGTGTCAGTACATCTTTTTATGGCTGAGTAATATTTCATATTCCACATTTTATTCATCCATCAGTCGATGGACCTTTGGGGTGTATCTTTTTGCTGTTGTGAATAGTGCTACTATGAACATTCATGTACAAGTTTTTGTTTGAAAAACTTTTTACTTCTTTTAGGTATATACTCAGAAGTAGAACTTCTTGCTTATATGGCAATTCTGTGTTGAAATTGTTGGTGAATTAATAGTGTGCTCTTGAATATCTTTTTTAACAGCATAGATAGATCTAAATAGCTCTACTTCTTTGAACAGCTTCATAATATTTTGTCATATGGATGTCTTTCTCCTATTGGAAGACATTTTAGGTTGTTTTTGGGGTTTTTTCTGCTTACAAATAATAGTGGAGAGAACATTGTTATACAAAAATTTTCGTGTACTTCTCTAATCGGCAAGATAAGGTAGAATTACTGGGTCAAAAATAGATGTTTTCAAAATTTATATTGGTAAATTGTTCCCAAAGAAGTTGAACCAATTTGTACTCTCTCTAATAGTACATAAGTGTTCCTGTTTGCTCTCTCTTGATTACTTTCATTCTTTTTTAAATTACTTTTATTCTACATTAAGCTTAGCTAATGGGATCATTGTCCTATGACATTTTGATCATGGTTAGTATGTTTATTATGTTATTATGTTTACTATTATGTTTATCTTTTATCCCTAAATAACAACAATAGCACTTGACATTTTTCTAAAGAATCAGTAATATATGCTAGGTACTTCATATATATTCACTCACTGTTCCTTTTCTTTTATAGATGGCTCAGAGAGGTTGTGGTTTAGGACATGCAGTTAGTTAGAGGCTAAACTAGGATTTCAAACATAAGTTTGTTACCAATTTTACATGATGCACTCTAGAAATAGTCTGTGCATATGCAGGCATAAATGTTTGTGTGGGGGGGTCTTTGCGTATGTGTGCATGGAGAAAAAAGTTTTCAATAGTTGTGAATTTGAAAATAGCATGTTGTTGACCTATGGAGCAAAGCAAAATATGCTCAATGGCCAGTGGTTCTTAAAACTTGAGTTGTGGATTAATCGCTTATATCAGAATCACCTTACAATTGCAGATGCCTGGGGTTCATCCTAGACCTATGGATCCTGAATTTCTAGGGGTGGAGCCTGGAAATCTACATTTTAGATAAGTAGCTCAGGTGATTTTTATACCCATTAAAGGCAGTATTCTAAAAATTGTAAATAGTGACATAATTGCAGATTGTGGAATTAGCATAGGGGAGTATGACCAGCATTTTATAAAAATGAACTAGAACAATAGTGTATATCAGAATAGCATTAAGGGTATTTTCTGTAATATTTTTGGTTTTGTTTATATACACATACAAATATTTTGTGTCTTGGGTTGCAATAGAAAATGTATTTCATGGTATGCCCATCTCATGGCATGGGTTGTGATCAAAATTTTGAAATTGACGGTATTGAAGCTGAAAATCATTGATTTAAGCCCCCCCCCCCTTTTTTTTAAACCTCCTTTCCCACTCTACACTTACCCCAGGTAAATACTCCTTCATTAGCCTCAACATACCCTTCATACTTGA